AGTTTATCAAGCATTTTTCAGGAAAAACATACGACCATCTGTCCGCCAACTGAAGCTCCGCAGAGGATGGGTAATGCAACAGGACAATGACCCAAAGCATACAAGTAATTCAACAAAACAATGGCTGCAACAGCACAGAATATGCCTTCTGGAGTGGCCCAGTCAGAGTCCTGACCTCAACCCGATTGAAATGCTGTGGCATGACTTAAGAGATGCGATTCACACCAGACATCCCAAGAATATTGCTACACTGAAACAGTTTTGTGAAGTGGAGTGGTCCGAAATGACTCCAGATCGTTGTGCAGGTCTGATCTGCAACTACAGGAAACGTTTGGTTGAGGTTATTGCTGCCAAAGGAGGGTCAGCCAGTTATTAAGTCCAAAGGTTCACAGACTTTTTCCTCCCTGCACTGTGAATGTTTTACATGTTTATGTGCAATTAAACCATGGCAACATCTTATGTTTGTGTAGTATTATGTTCAGCAGACTGTGTTCTTCTATTGTTGTGACTTAGATGACGTTTCAGAGCACATTTTATGCCCAATTCATGCAAAACTCCACGTAATCCCAAGGGGTTCACATACTTTTTCTTGCAACTGTACTACATTTTTAATATTTAGGTGCTCCTGTGCCCAGACTATGAAATTACACTATTTACCTATTCTTACTGTTCTGGACATTAATACTGAAATTTTATAGCTAGGCAACTCCTATTGTGATATTTATTAGTGGTTCCAAATTAATAAATACTGCAATAGGGAACACACACAAAAAGATACATTTAGCATCTTTCCAAATAACTATTCTGTTTATTTGGTGCATTTGAAGTTTTTTTTATACACATGATTACATAGGTATCACATTAATATTACAATTGCACTTTTATGGTAACAAGGGGCGTTACAAAGACAAGCTAATTCCTTGTCAGGACTTGAAGGAATGAAAACATTATTAATGCCGTGTGCGCAATGAGTGCAGTGTGCAATACATAGGCAAAGCATACATAAAAAAGAATACAATTTTATACAGAATTTATAAATTTCCTTTACATTACTAAGCATCACTTCAAAAAGTTTCAAATATCACAACAACTGGCTGAAGTCCTGTTTGGCCCTGTTCAGATGGGCACTGACACCTGTACTGTGTACATGATGCCTTTGTTTTGATGTCTGCATCTGTTCTGAGCTGCATGCAGGCAGCTATGGAGGTGGGTGGATGTAGATGCAGCGACTGTACGGACACAGCCACATGTCAGAATCTGCAAGAACATATCGGGGCAGATGCAGACGCCAAAACAAATGCAGACTGCATGCAGTACGGGTGCCAGCCCTTGTCTGAACAAGGCTTTTCAGTTGGTTTTTTAACAGCTTCAAAATACCTGCTAATTGTTTACATTAGAGGGCTGACACCCTGCTAAGATTCTGCTCTAACAGAGAAAGCTGAGATTTCTGGGGCTTTGTTATGAACTTTGTATATACAGGCGTACATCAGTTCATGAATGCCTCTATTAACTTAATTTTTGGTTTACGAATGAAAATCCCTTGAAAATAATGCCTTGGTTTACGAATTTTTCTTCGCAATACGAACGGATTGTTTTTTCAATTCATTTACTAATTTTTTTTTAATCATGTCCTTGTACAATACTATGCCTTTTAAGTGCACTTTATAAAGAGTGTTGAACAGAAGACCTTTTTTTACTTTTTTCTGACCTCCAGAATGGACTAATTGGCTTACAATGCATGTACAAATTAATTTTTAGTCGTGTCCAAGGTATGCCTGTATAAAGCACTGTAGAGAAATTCATTTTCAGAGGTTAATAAAGGCTGTTTTCACTGTTCAGAATATAAAACCACTTTAGTATGTCTGATCTAGGCACAGGTTTACACCAAAGTATTTTTGATGGGACTATCTCGAATGGAATTATCTGTTATTGATATACACAGATTTGTGTATACCCACTCCAGTGGCAGTATTTAGATTTTGCTATCGTCTTTCATCCTTCATAGCTGTTCAGACAATGGGGTTTATTTACTAGGACTGGAAAGTGCAAAATCTAGTGCAGCTCTTCATAGAAACTAGTCAGCTTCCATGTGTTATTGTCAAAGCTTTAACCCACTTTGTATATTTTTACCTACAAGTAAGCTTATAATAAAGCTTACTTGTAGGTAAAATGAATATCTCCTAAACATGCACCGTTTAGGAGACACTCGAGGTTTTTTGCAGCCACCGCATGTGCTCTGAAGGAACGGCATACCCGTGTCATTCCTTCAGAGCACTGTGCCGTGTCCCGAGACTCCCATGCGCATGTGCAGGAGTGACATCATCGTGTCCCAGTTAGTCAAATGGCCAAAGCTCGCGAACCTGGAAGGAAGACCTGTTGAAAATGGACGCCTCTACAGCATGCCGCTGGAGGGCTTCGTTTTAGGGTAGGTTTTACATAATATGCTAGTATGCCATGCTTACTAGCACATTATGTCTACCTTGCAGGGTTTTTGTTTTGTTTTTTTCTTAATAATGGACGTGGTTTACTACCGCTTTTAATTGATCAAGCTGAAGTTACAAGCTGATTGGCTACCATGCAGAGCTTCACCAGATTTTGCACTCTCCAGTTTTAGCAAATCTACCCCGAAATCTTGGCCACATAGACAGTGTGTTGTATTCAGTCACTCAGACCTGACTTTGTCAGAGCAGTTCTGTGTGATTTGTATTTAAAGCTTTAAACACCTCTTTTCTTTGTGACTTTTATGTTCTAAAAATATTATGCAATGTTAAAACTATACAGGTAAAAAAAAAAACATTTTCTAAAGACAAGTTGCTGCACAATTGGCCTCCAGTAAATTATGAAAATAATTGTCACATTTTATGGCTAAAAAAAACACACTTTGGGGATCAATCTTTTTTTTTAAGATTTTTTTTTTTATGGGAAGAGAATATGTACCCTCTCAGGTCAAGAAATACAGATCACAGGACAGAGAATCCCAGATGAAACAGTACTTTGTACTAGACCATGTCATGGTGCAATTTCTGTGAGAAACTGAGCAGTGGTTTCAATGTTATAAATCATTTCTGGTACACCAAAGTGACGTATAGCTTTTCATGAAACAGAAGTGCTAGCATCCACTGTTCCATGGAAAAAACAAATCAGAGCAGAAAGAGAAAAGAGTTGTAATGAAGAAATCCAGTAGGAGAGCGGGGCATCTCTCTCTCCATGGCAAAACTATGTTAAGTTGAACATGGAGGCTGTAGTTTTGGAGCCAGTAAGATTCTGAATTGTGCTGTAGTACAGAAGCATAGCCAGGGGCTCCAGGTACTGTAAAATTAGGTGTAGTAATTAGTGGCTAAGTGATTAGCAGTTTTGCCTGGCAGTACTAGGGTTGTTGATTCAAATCCCAACCACAGCACCACCTGTCTGGAGTTTGCTTTTTCTCCCTGTGCATGAGTGGGTTTCTGGGTACTCTGGTTTCCTCCTACTGATAGGTTAACTGGCTCCTGTCTAAATTGGCCCTAGTATGTGTATGTATGAATGTGAGCTTAGGGACCTTAGATTGTAAGCTCCTTGAGGGCAGGGACTAATGTGAATTTATAATATTTATTTAAAGCGCTGCATAAATTGTTGGCATGAAGTACCGGTAATAAATAAATATGCAGGGTTGTTGACTCTGCTCTACCCAGAATAAAAAAATAAGTTTTTTGGCTTTATAGACATTAAGTTGGTTATTCTTGGTGCACACTTCCAAAACAGCAATCCGTCCATAATTATAGTGGTTTCTGAATGGTATATGATTTCTATCTGAAAGGAAACCAGTGATGATGTGGCTTGCAGTATGAGATATAGAACAAGCATGCAACTAGTGAAGTCTGGATTTCCAGCAGAATGTTTTCTAAAATGTATCCACAGTAGTATTTGGGAAACCAACTGTTGGAGCTGCATTATGATTAAATGTATGATTAATCCAAGTGTAAAAAGGACATCACTCTGCCTCTGACCTGTTTATCCCAATGGCGCTTAGTCATAGTTTTTCCCCTTCTGAATGGTTGGTTCCTGTATATACCTTAATAAGGAACTAAACCAACCAATTTAACTGTCTCACAAAGCCATTACATTCAAGGCATGCCGTGAATGATAACTGTCACAGTTACTAGTGTGCTTATGTCCGCTCTCAACTGAACCGTCAAACCATCAGTTGGCTCCATAGCTGATCACATATGCAGCTCCATGGCAAATGCAGATCAAACAGAAATTAAGATGGCCACTTCCTTGGCTATAAAGGATAGGAGGGTTTAGTTCAGCTTTAAGCACACTCAAATATGCTGCATGCAGGAGTTTGGAAGCACATTATTAAATCTAGCACCTCACAAGGTGTACAAAGGCCTACTGCTGGAACCTGGGCAGGATGCATTGTCAGTAAAATTGATAGTTATAAATAAGCCCTTAAGATAACGTATATTGGACTTGACAAGAACTCAGATTGCATTTGATTCTTTCTTGATTCAGCGCTTGTAACAAAACTCACTTTTGCATGTTCCACTTTTCCTGTGTATTTGCTATGCCTCCCACTCCTTTTTTTCTGCATGTGTTCTCTTGGGAAAGCATGTGTAAATCTTCACAGACCTGCCAGTAACTGTCTTGCTGTTTCACTCAGGAATGATGCTTGCCGCCCATGTCATGCCTCTAGTAATGTCCTTGTGTTTTTAACCATATTTTGAGCTGTGCACAGAAAGTGTGGAATTGCAAGAGATGGTCTCTTGGGCATGTGTTTAACAGTGAACCATACACACAGAGCAGGAATATGGAGACCACAAATTTTAATTTGGTACTGATGAACATCATTGTGGAGATCTACACACTTATTGTTTGGGACACATATATTTCACACATCACTATCTGTAAAATATTAGACACAGATATCAAAGCTCAGGTACACAAAACATATGTTGGAGGACTTTGATTCCTCCTATAGAACATGATTTTATATATCTGAACACACAATGTCCTTTCAGATATTCCCCGCCGGACCCCTCGGACCCCACTTTCTGACCTACAGGGAGTAAACACCATACAAGAAAGAAGTCCACGGTAAGTATCTGTGTTGTGTTTGCCTGCCTATTGTGATATCTGTTGGCTTGAGTCATTTTTGTTTACAGACCTCAATATCTAAAGCTCAAATGAACCAATATAAGGTAAATGAAGTGTGAGTGATTAGTATGGATTTTATTATGAAAAAAGTTATACTCACCAAGGTGGATGCAGCGTTAGTTCTCAGTTTTAGAGCAAGCAGGGGACAGATGCAGCATTGGACTGAGTGTTCAAACACTACTGATTATTCAGCTCTTGGTCTCCAGAGTACAGAGAGCAGGTGACTGTCAGTTACCGGCTCTCTGCTTTGCCCCTCCAGCACTCATTGGAGCACCGGGCTGTGGAAGGGACGGGATCGGCTGGGTCTCGGGGAATCGTCCTGAGGCTGAGCCATCTGCTGGTTCAGGCATCTGGGTGGATCTCAACCATATGGTCGGGATCTTTTCAGAGTCTGGACCAGCTCTGTGACATCAACCGACAGCGGCTTTAGCCTACTGTCAGTTGAAAACATATAAAAGGAGTCCAGGACAAACTGCACTCCTGTGGTGCATTGTAGAAGTACTGCTAAAAAAGCTTTGGCTGTACTTCTCCTTTAATCAAAATAAAGTGAGGCATACGCTATTTAAATTTTCCTGGGTGAAAATGGGAGTGCATTCCTGTATTTGCTATCTGCCTCATTTACAGGTGCATGTTAAAAAAAACTGCTATGGAATTTGAGCATTTTTAAAGCATGTGAGCTACAAGAGAGTAATAATGACTTGCATGAAAAGTCTTGCCTTTTGCTGGCTATAGACAGGAAGATTTTCTGCCTTGGGATACTGTGAGATCTGCCTTTATTTTATAATAAGTGCCTTGTATAATGTTCTTTGACTTGTGAAATGTTGATTGTAGATATATGGCAAATGTTTCCATCCCTTTTCTTTATGTGATTGAGAGCAAAGAGATAAGCATCAGCAGATGTTTTCCAGCAAACGATTTTTTTCCATGTGTTAGATTTATATATTCTCCTAATTTTCCCTTCTTTTTTACAATGTGCTTTTGTTTTCAAGTGAGCTGAACTGGACTTCACGTAGGCTGAGCCTGCTGTCATCCTCTGGTTCCTACCTCGAAGGTGGTGGAATCTTTATTAGCTCCCCCAGTTCCAACCTGAGTAACAACAGTGACAGCAAACTACTGGAGAGAGCTCACGGAATTCTAATGTAAGAAGAACATTACAGACAAAATTTAGAGACATACAAGAAGCAATTCTGCTTATTTTCAGGAACTATTCTTTTAGATGTTGTGTGTGGGAGACATAAGGAATATGCAGAAATATTAATGGCTACTATGGAGTACAGTATGTGCTTATTATGGATTATGATTTTTTTTTTTTTCTTCAGGAGGAACAAGAACACAAAATCCAAACCAGCGCTTCCTAAGGTGAGAGCCTATATCAGGTGTCTCCATATTTTCTAAGCAAGGGGCCGGTTTACTGTCCTTCAGACTTTAGGGGGGGAATAGTGCCCTAATGTTGGTGTCAGTGGGAGGAATAATGCTCCATTGTTGCGGTCAGTGAGAGGATTAGTACCCCATCATCGGTGTCAGTGGGAGGAATAATGGTCAATTGTGGTCTATGGCAGAAATTATACTCCACTGTTGGTGTCAGTGGAAACAATAATGCCTTTTATCAGAGGGAGGAAGAGTGTCCACAAAGGCTGGCCCAATAAAAATAAGTAAAGATAAGTAAAGGGCCACATCTGGCCCCAGAGCCGCAGCTTGGAGACCACTGGCTTATATGAATTCCCCCTGTTTCTACAGTAAATTCTTGAGGAGATATCCTGGAATTCCTGTTTTTCATCTGCACTTTATTGGATAATTGAAGTGAATCTTCACCCTATTTTGTGTAAACCATCTCAATGCCCTTTAGCAAAAAATCCACAGTGTCCCTGTGTGAAAACATGACATTATATTTGCTCATAATCTGTACTTCTCTCACATCCCAGACTCCCAGTCAGGCTCCGGATTCTGACCCCTGGGTACTTGAGGACACTGCTGGGGTAGAGGAGTGCTGACACTGTTTTTATTCACTTCTATGTCAGTGTGGCCCTACACTTGTAGGGCCAGCAGAACTGTGGTACCCTCTTGCATATTTTTGAGGGGTTTATCTGCAATTGCAGGACTTTTATGAGATTGGCAGAAGTGGTCAGGAACAACACAGGCTTGGGCCTAGGCGTAAATCTAACAAGATACCTCCTTCACTGAACAATCTCTCCAAAATGAATGAACCCTAATTCCAAAAAAAGTTGGAACACTGTGTAGAATCTACATAAAAACAGAATGCAATGATTTTCAAATCTCTTGAACATGTATTTTATTCACAATAGAAAACATATTAAATGTTCAAACTGAGGAAATGAGAGTCGGTGTGTTTCAGAATTAAAGATGGGCAGAGGTTCACTAAGCTCTGAAAATTGTCAAACAACTTTAGAATAATGTTCCTTGGTGTAAAATTGCAAATACTTAAAATATATCAAAACACATAATATCAAAAGATTCCGAGAATCTGGAGAAATCTCTGTGCATGAGGGACATCGCAAAATGCAGTATTGGATTCCTATGATCTTCGACCCTCAGATGACCTGCATTAAAAGCAGGCATTATTCTGTTATTGTCCTGCACTCAGGATTGTAAGCTCTTAGTGTGAATATAACCTGTGATAACACCTTAAACCAAATATATATATATATATATATATATATATATATATATATATATATCACACACAAATACAATAAACCACAAATAAATTAAAATAATCCAATAAAAAAATGATTAAGGGTGCTGACTTTCACAAATGTACAATCAAAAATATAAGATGATTCTGTGATGGACATTATGCATGCAGTTTGCCATGTCAGCCAAAAATGCAAGGAAAAGCTCTATCATGCAGAGAAGAAACCATGCCTGAACATGATCCAGAAAGTTGCCACTTTTTCTTGGCCAAAGCTCATTTAGAATGGTCTGTTGCAAAGTGGAAGACTGTTCTATGGTCTGATGATACAAAATTTTACATTCTTTTTAGCAACCACGGTTACCGCGCGTCCTCTGGACTAAAGAGGAGAGGGACCATCTGGCTTGCTATCAGCATTCAGTACAAAAGCCTGCATATCTGATGGTATGGGGGTGCATTATTGCTTTTGTAATGGGCAGCTTTCCCATCTGGAAAGGCGCCATCAGTGTTGAAAGATTTATCCAGGTTTTAGAGCATCATACAGCAGGTAAAATAGTACTGAACACATCACCATTTTTCTCAGTAAATATATTTCTAAAGGTGCTATTGACATGAAACGTTCACTACATGTCGGTAACAACCCATGCAATCCATACATACAAAGAAACCAAAACAAATATGTTCAGAAATTAAGTTATGTGTAATAAAATGGAATGATACAGGGAAAAAGTATTGAACACGCTAACTGAAATTTGTTTAATACTTCGTATAAAGTCCTTTGTTGGTAATGACAGCTTCAAGACACCACCTGTATGGAGAAACTAGTCTCATGCATTGCTCGGGCGTGATTTTGGCCCATTCTTCCACACAAAGAGAAAAAAGGTGACATGTTCAATACTTATTTTACCTGCTGTATGCTCAGGCAAGAATGGGACAACATTCCTTTCCCAAAACTCCACCAACTGGTCTCCTCAGTTCCCAGATGTTTACACAGTGTTGTTAAAAGGAGGCATGATGCTCCACTGGTAAACAGGGCATTGTCCCAACTTTTTTGAGACATTTTGCTGCAATTAATTTCAAAATTATTTTTTTTTTTTTTCTTAAAATGGTACACTCTCATTTTAAACATTTGATATGTTTTCTCTTTTCTATTTGAATAAAATGTGGGTTTATGAGATTTGCAAATCATTGCATTCTGTTTTTTTTTTAGATTTTACACAGCTTCCCAACTTTTTTGGAAATGGAGTTGTACAAGCATTCACTGACTATAGACCTTTAAAACCCTGCAGGGGCATGTGGAAAACTGCACAGCCACCTACAATGCCATTGTTGTTCAAAAAAGAAACAAGATTACCCTAGTGGAGGATTTTACACATTCCCTGCAAAACTAATAGGAACACTTCAGAAACACTTGCATAGATTACATCAATTCTACAACTTTCATAACCCACAGAAATCTTTTCGACGTACTGTAGATACATTTTGGCCTCACTTACACTTGCTTCGACTTCAACACTCAATAAAGCGCCCCGCACTTCATCATACATTTTTGATGTGTATTTGAGGCTTTTAGTGGTGCTACAATGATGCTTTGGCAATTCTTCAATTATGCTTTTTTGGTGCTTCTGCAGTGCTTCAATGATGCTTTTTTGGTGCTTCAGCAGTGCTTCAATGATGCTTTTTTGGTGCTTCAGCAGTGCTTCAATGATACTTTTTTTTTAAGCTTAACAAATGCCCTGTGTGTGTGTTGATTATCCAACTCATTAGTACCCCCATTCAGTGGTTCCCCAGCCTATTAGTACCCCTATTCAGCAGATCCCCAGCTAATTGGTACCCCTGTTCAGCAGATCCCCAGCTAATTGGTACCCCTGTTCAGCAGATCCCCAGCTTTATTAGTACCCGTGTTCAGCAGATCCCCTGGTCAGTAGTACTCCCAGCTCTGCTGATGCCCCATTCAGTAATAATCCCCCAGCTCTGCTGATCCCCCCCTACCCCCTCCCCCGTTCAATAGTAACCCTCAGCTCTGCTATCCCCAGTTCAGTAGTAACCTCCAGCTTTGCTGTTCTCCCATTCATTGGTAACCCCCAGCTCTGCGGATCCTCTGGTTTACTGATCCTCCTCACTCTCTACTCTCTGCTCACCTCCCGCTATAATGCTCCCACACTGTGCACCAAATGTAACATTGCTAGTTTCTCCTGCTGCAGTCCTCCAGCTCTGATTATCCTCTGCTGCTCATTTCTCTCTCTCCGGTCCCCGCTCACCTTCCACTATAGCATTATCATGCTGTCTGTTAGTTGCTCTGCTCCGATCACCTTCCTGCTGTTCTTCCCTGCACAACAGATGTGACATCTGCAAAGCGAAACAAAAACGAGAAGCGCATTACCGCAGTAACCAAAATTTATTAATTACAAAATGATACTCACAAACAGCGGATAAAATCAGGCATGTAAGTCCTCAGAAGGACTTGAAAGATAAGGAGCCAGCGTGAATCCCATCATGGGGGTAGACACTCATCAGAGCTCTGATGAAGAAGGGATGCCCTTCGAAATGCATCAGCTGTACTGAGTGTCTACCCCCATGATGGAATTCGCACTGGCTCCTTATCTTTCAAGTCCCTCTGAGGACTTACATGCCTGATTTTATTCGCAGTTTGTGAGTATCATTTTGTAATTAATACATTTTGGTTACTGAGGTAATGCGCAAGGTTGGTGCGCTTCTCGTTTTTGTTTTGCTTTGCAGTATTGGTCGGGCTTCCCAGCCTTGTTTGGAGCTGCACAACTCTATATGCATTGGTGGTCGATTTTTTCCAGTTCTGGTTCCATCCTTCCGCCACCCACCTGGGTCCTAGAGCACAGGAGAAGTCGTGTCTAGATGTGACATCTGCACCAGACGCTTGCTGAATATATAAACATGAACCGGAGGTGGCTGCTGCTGATGTATTTATGGTTCGCTTGTTGGTTTCCCAGTGCATCCAGGGATGTCTCATACCTGCTATACCTCCAAAAGAAGCTGCAGCTGAATGAGCCTCTCAAAAGCTGTAGGTTCTGCTAACAAGTTTTGTCTTAGACTTCTATGGAGGCTTTGGAGATGCTTTGAAGAACCAAGAAAGTGACATAGGGTATAATTCTTGAAGCAAAGCAAATGCAATGTGTTACCAGGACTGTAAGCTTACCATTTTATTTAGGGGCAGGTGCTTTGATTGGCATTCAGAGTGTTTTAAAAAGAGTGCCACATTTTAAAGCAAGTAAACAAGCCCTTAGAGAAGTGACCTTCTTTTTCCTTCTCCTTTTTTCTCCAGCTCCTAGTGTTCATTTTCTCCCTTACCTCAGTTCCTATGCTTGGTTCCCTGAACTTCTGCAGTTGAGGGGGCCAGTTATTGTTGACCAAGGAAATCACCTTGCTTGTTACATGTGTTTGGAAAGCTGCTTTTATTAGAACTTAATTGTTTATGGCAAGAACCATTTGTATCTGCATGAACAAATAATAGATAAATAAAGAATTAATGTATTGTTAATCATGACCCACTAATAAAGTATTTTCCCAGATGTTATTAATGGTCTCTAGTTTTTGGTGAGTTTGTTGCATGGACAATTAAAAAGTTTAGATTTTTTCATTAAACCCTAGCACTTGTTGGATGTGAAGTCTCTAAAGCATCTCTCTAACCTTACACTACATGATCGGATCACCAAGTCCCTGCTGCATCTGCACAAGAAGAAAAAGCCGCCAAGTATCAGTGCACAGTTTCAGGTGCAGCTCCATGTTTCTTTGATTGTCTTCCCTCTGATCATTTCATCCCACAGATTTCCCCATGCCAGTGTGTATTTTAAAACCCCTGTTCTTTGGTCCCATTTTAGGCATCTTTAAACAAGCTGATGGAAGCTTTGGGTCAAGCAGAGCCCTATTTTGTGAAATGCATTCGCTCCAATGCAGAAAAGGTAATTGATTTTAAATTGAGTTTCAGAGCTCTGATCACTGATTGCACATTAATTAGCAGCAGTAAGGAACCAATTCAAGTATGCTTTGTAAAAAGAATCTATGGAAGGAGCCCGCTTTATTCTCAGTCTAGCATTGAGCTAGTCTACCCTGCAAATATAGCTCTGTGTGTATCAGCAGTTCAGTCCTAACAATCTTTGGCTCTATGCAATAATGATTTTCTATTCTTAAATCCCAGCTTCAGGCAGAGCAACAAAAATACTGTTGTAGTGTTGTACCTGCACTGCAAGGACTACATGCAATTTTAGCTTAGGGGATAATAAAGTTTCTTATATGTACAATTAGGGTCTCAGTCTGGCGTTTGTTTCACACTTTCACTGAGTCACTGGTTGAAGTGTTACTAAACCAAGGACCCTGCATCCACTATATATAGTCTCCCACAGCACACAGTTCATGGAAGTGCAATTATTTTAGTAAATATACATTGCTAAATACCTTTTCTCATCTCATCAGCAGTTTGAGCAGTCTTGTGGCTTCTATCAGTGTCCAGCACAGCACTAGCTAAAGCTTGTAGGAAGAGTATTAATTTTTCCTCAGATTGTCCTAGGAGGCTTAATGACCCCTGACCCTCTGTCTGGAGAGTGCAGATTGGCTCTATGCTGATCACATGCACTCACCGAAGGAAAAAAAAAACCCTCTTTAGCAATATACACCAAACTGAGCATGTGCATGCCTATGGTTCAGTCTGGAGATAAGTGGTGGTCGCTTGAAAAAGGGGAGGAACAGAGAAGAAAGGCTCAAACAGCCTTTTTTTACACAATGCAGAGGATTAACCCCTTAGATTCCACAGTGAGTATAACAAGCATGCTTTACTGCATATACAGACTGATTTTACTGTTGTGGGTTTAGTAACACTTTAATGGTATTTTTCTGTGAACGTGGCTGAACAAAGATACAAGCCACACATTTGTCTGGCTGCAATCTTGATTATATTAGCAAAACAAATTAACAGTAACCGATAACGTATATTTGTGTACCTTTTGATAAAAACATTTGTTAATACCTCAGCTCTCTTACTGTTGGAATGTATTTATCTTTTCTGTTTTTTTTTTTTCTTTTGCTTAATTGTACAGGTGCCTTTGCGTTTCAATGATTCATTGGTGCTCAGGCAGCTTCGTTATACAGGAATGTTGGAAACAGTCCGAATTCGCCAATCTGGGTACAGCTGCAAGTATCCCTTCCAGGTTGGAGTGCAGTCTTATTTTGTACATACTGTATGAGATCTGTTATATACTCAATATGGCTAAAGGTTTTGTACCACCTAACCATCAAACTAATGTGAGCTTATTGAACCATCCTATTCCAAAACTGTGGGCGTTAATTTGAAGTTGCCCCCCCCCCCCCCCTCTTTATCAGCCAAAGAGTCTCCACATTTCTGTGAAGGCTTTTTGCAAGACTTTGGGGTTTGTCTGTGGGAGCTTGTGCCCATTTATCCAAAAAAGCATTTGTGAAGTCAGGTGATGATGGATGAGAAGACCTGGTTCACAGCTGGTATTTCAGCTCATCTCAAAGGTGTTCAGTAAGGATGAGGTCAGTGCTCTGTGTAGGCAATTTCAGTTCCTCCACACTAGACTCATCAAGACATATGTTTATGGACCTGGCTGTGATTGTCATTGTGGAACAGAAAAAAAGGGCCTTTCCCAAATTGTTACAAATTGGAAGCACAGAATTGTCTGAAATGTCTTTGTATGCTACAGCATTAACTGAGCCCTTCACTGGAAACCCCTGAATGTGGTCGTTCGGAGGATATCTACGTACTTTTGCTCATATAGTGTACATTATGGATGTTTGGGAAGAAGCTATTTTTGAAATCATAGGAAACTTTTTGCTTTCTACTAGTTCTGCATTTGATGACTAGTCTGTGGATGGTACTAAAAGGAAGAACATGAGAATCACCTTTTAAATACAAACTGGATGGTTCCTTGAAAAACACATTTTTTTAAAGTGTTGTGTATGAGCAAAGGGCTTACAGAAAAACTGTTTTATTCAGTACAGAATAATGACCCTGACATGATTTATGCACTATTATTTTATTTTATTATTATTTATTATACAGGTTTTATGTATCGCCAACAGTTTGCGTAGCGCTTTACAAAATGAAGGTAGACATTACAGTTACAATACAATTTGGTACAAGAGGAAACAGAGGGCCCTGCTTGTTAGAGCTTATAATCTAAGAGGAAGGGTTGAGTGATACAAAAGTAATAGCTGTGGGCGGATGAGCTGATGGAGGAAATAAATGTCGGTTTACTAGGTAGAAGCAGGATAGACTTCTTTAAAGAGAGGTTTTCTGGAATCGTCTAAAGGTGGATAAATTAGGAGACAGCTGGACAGATTGGGGTAAGGAGTTCCATAGGATGAGAGAAGCTCTGGAGGCGAGCATGGGACGAGGTGACATGGGAACTAGAGAGCAGAAGGTCTTGGGAGGATCGAAGAGAGTGGTTTGGTTGATATGTTTAGACCAGGTTGGTGATGTAGCTGGGGGCAGAGTTGTGGATGGCTTTGTAAGATGTTGTTAGTATTTTGAATTTTATTCGTTGAGTGAGTGGAAGCCAGTGGAGGGATTGACATTATTTCAATGCAAAGGAATTTTGCATTTGATTCCCACAGCCCCTTGTAATGCCTCCTTCTGAAGTGTTTTCAAATATAAACATTTGACGCTATAACCTCTCCCACTTTACACCTGCTCAGTTTTGTTTTGTGTCCCAAGGAAAGTGGATGTGTTTTCTTCAACTCTGATTTTTTTTTTTACCTGTTCATTTAGAACTTTTTTCCATGATCTGTGGCTGTTGGTAGATTCAGCCAGATACTGAAACCCTAGAAGTCTCTCCAGTTAGCCCACGCGCATAGGTTTTTTGAGTTTGTTAATTTTACTGGTGTTCTCTCTGGGTGAGGCATGCATTTTTAAAAGTTTCTATAATCGGTCAAGAAGCGCAGGTTTTCTCACCTGTTCTTTCTTCGATGATCCTGCAGTCCATATTGACTGCCTGTTCATGTTCAATTTACCACAGGACTCTTTAAAGTGGTTGTAAAGTCTCAAGGTTTTTACCTTCATACATTCTGTGCAAGAAGGTAAAAAAAAACCTTCTGTGTGTAGCAGCCCTCCCAACACTTTCTTGAGCCCCCTCTTGATCCAGCGATGTCCATGAGTGTCTCGATTCTCCGGGGACTCTCACTCCTGATTGGCTGAGACAACAGCAGGAGCCAATAGCGCTCGCTGGTGTCAATCACGTCCACTTAGCCAATCAGGATGGGGCTGAGTCATGGCTCTGTGTGCATGACTGTACACGCAGAGCAGTGGCTCAGGAATGCGCCTGCTTGGGTGCCCCCATAGCAAGCTGTTTGCTGTGGGTGCACCCGACAAGGACCAGGAGCACCGGTGGGGGAACCAAGAAGAGGAGGATCCAGGCTGCTCTGTGCAAATCCATTGCACAGAGCAGGTAAGTATAACATGTTTGTTATTTTTAAGAAAGGAAAAAAAAAAACAAAAAACAAGACTTTAGTATCACTTTAACTCTGGTTAGACTCCCAGCAAAACTGGCTCAATAGTTGTATGTCCCTTGCCTAGATTTTGATGGTACAGGCTGCAAATGGCCACCTGTCACAAACATGCGGCATGCAAAAATACTTCCAACTCCTACAAATTTTATTTTGACAGCTGAATAATGGGCAAAGGTGTCACCCACTGCATTGAAACCTGTTACGGGGAGTACGCCCATGCCACTTGCAGTGCACCTCCATTTTAGTCTAGTCTGTGTTTACTTGGCTGATTTTATACAGCACAGCTGTGACAGAAGGTGGAGAAGGCACCATTGACTGCAGAAGTTATTCTCACAATACCTGCCCTCATGAACCAAGCATCTGTGATGCCTTTTGGCTTGGATACAAAGGGCACAATACCTGGGATGCCAGACTGGCAGCTTTGGAAGTGCCACACAAAAGCTGAGGTGCCATGAATGCAACAAATGTAGGACCTCTGAATTGGGCTACTGTGACTGAGAGATGGGCATGTGTTACTGTACACACCATAGCCGTGTAGAACACTGCGAGAAACATGCACCAGAGTCTTATGGAGGCTGCAGGAATGTTAGAACTTGTTACTTTGAATGTTAGTGTTACCAGGTGCTCACCAATGTGTCTTCCTCTGCTCTGGACTCTCTTGTGGGCTATTCCCTTCTGTGGGTGCTGACTGCATCTTCTTCTCACTCATGGCCCTGTCACCCAGTGGACGGCTGCCCCGAGGTTTACCTTCAGTGTACCGCTGAATTCAATATCCTCTGCAAGCAGCTATCTTTGTGTTTGAGGGTAGGAACCCAGCTTTCCTGGATACAGCAACTACAATTGGGTGTAGTAAGTAGCATCCAAAGGTTGCGTTTCACCTTTCCGTACATCAGCAAAGTCAAATGGAATTTTAAGGAATTGCTGTTCAAGAGGATTATTGTTGCTTCCAAACTGAAAAGTTTCGAGGTTTTAATTCAAACCTGTTTACACTTCCATACCTCCCCAGCCCTGAACTCAATGGAGTTACAGAGGCAAATAGACTGTGCACTCTGCAAGTGCAGTTGCACTCCTTATCCCCGAAGCTTAGTAAATGTGGTAAATCCCTGCTGATTTTCATCATCTTATCAAGTCCAAGTCAAATGCTTTTTTTTTTTTTTTTTTTTTTCCTAGCTTCTGATTGGGTATTCTTTAAAAATCAAAAGCTTTGACATGTTGATATTTACTAAGAAAAGAATTCAACTGCACTTGCAAAATGCACAGTCTATTTCCCTTTAGTAAATCAGTACCAATGGTTCAATCCAACTGCATAGCATGCGTCTGCTGGTTTTATGGTATCTGTTCGCTCAGTTCCACTCCAGAACATGTGTGCAATGAAACATTTTGATGGTGTGGGTCAAATCCAGTCTTTCTCTGGACCAGGTGATCCACTTATATTCTGAAACCCAGATGTCCCTGTCATGGTGGTGTTTGTCCTCGACGTTGTCAGGAGGCAGGTTTTCTGCTTCCCTACATTGGAGGATTGTTACAACCAACCGTAGTCCTCTCTGTTGGGACAGAGTTCTGGATCATCTGTCCATTCATGGTTGTTGGTTTCGGTTAGAATTAGAGCTTCCAATTGGCATCCTAGAACAGTTCACCAGCCATTATTTCACTGGACCTCCCTTCTGACTAATCATATGGTCCAAGTTCAGTCTGACAATGCCACAACTATGGCTTACATCAAGCATCAGGGGAAGCACCAGAAGTGTTGCAGCTGTGACAGAGAGAATCTATCCTGTCCTGTGCAAAGTATCATGTTCCAGTGATTTTCATGGTACACTTTCCCTTGGTGGAAATTTGGCAGGCAGATTTTCTCAGCAGACATTATCTGGACTTTAGGGAATGGTCTGTGCATCTGCAGGTGTTCCCAGGACATAAGTCTGCGTTGTGCTCACAGGATGTGAATTTAATAGCATCTTTGTTCAACAAGAAGCTGGTTAGATTTGTTTTCAAGATGCAGGATCAGACGACAGATGCATCAGAGGGTTATAGGCTCTAGAGGACTATGTGTATAGCAACAATTTCACTGGCAGTATAACCCTGAGGTCCACAGAGGTCCCCATACCTGTTTTCCCTGGTTTATTGGAGCCACTTGCCATCACAGAGGAAGGAGTTATACACTGCTCAAACAAATTAAAGGAACAATTTTTAATCGGAGTATAGCATCAAGTTACTCCTGGGATATTGATCTGGTCAGTTTAGTAGCAGAGGGGGTTGTTAATCAGTTTCAGCTGCTTTGGTGTTAATGAAATTAACAACAGGTGCACTAGATGGGCAACAATGAAATGTCCCCAAAACAGGAATGGTTTTACAGGTGGAGGCCACTGACATTTTTTTCCTTACTCATCTTTTCTGACTTTTTTTCACTAGTTTTGCATTTGGCTAGGGTCAGTGTCACTACTGGTAGCATGAGGCTGTACCTGGACCCTACAGAGGTTGCACAGGCAGTCCAACTCCTCCAGGATGGCACATCAATATATGCCATTGCCAAAAGGTTTGCTTTGTCTCCCAGCACAGTCTCAAGAGCATGGAGGAGATTTCAGGTGACGGGCAGTTACTCTAGGAGTGCTGGACAGGGCCATAGAAGGTCCTTAACCCATCAGTAGGACCAGTATCTGCTCCTTTGTGCAAGGAGGAACAGGCTGAGCACTGCCAGAGCCCTACAAAATTACCTCCAGCAGGCCACTGGTGTGAATGTCTGTGACCAAACAATCAGAAACAGACTTCATGAGGGTGGCCTGAGGGCCCGACACCCTCTAGTGGTCCCTGTGCTCACTGCCCGTCACCACAGAGCTCAATTAGTATTTACCATTTAACACCAGAATTGGCAGGTCCGCCACTGGTGCCCTGTGCTTTTCACAGATGAGAACAGGTTCATCCTGAGCACATGTGCCAGATGTAAAAATGTCTGGAGAAGCCTTGGAGAACGTTATGCTGCCTATAAAATTTTTCAGCATGACCGTTTTGGTGATGGATCAGAGATGGTCTGCGGAGGCATATCCATGGAGGGACACAGACGTCTACAGGCTAGACAATGGCACCCTGACTGCCATTAGGTATCGGGATGAAATCCTTGGACCCATTGTCAGACCCTACGCTAGTGCAGGGGGTCCTGGGTTCCTCCTGGTGCACGACAATGCCCGGCCTCATGTAGCAAGAGTATGCAGACAGTTCCTGGAGGATGAAGAAAATGATACCACTGAATTGCCCCCACGCTCGCCTGACCTAAGTACAATAGAACACTTCTGGGATATCATGTTTTGGTCCATCCAACGCCGTCAGGTTACACCTCAGACAGTCCAGGAGCTCAGTGATGCCCTGGTCCAGATATGGGAGGAAATGCCCCAAGACACCATCCATCATCTCATTAGGAGCATGCCCTGACGTTGTCATGCATGCATTCAAGCACGTGGGGGCCATACAAACTACTGAGTACCATTTTGAGTTGCTGAAATGAAATTTCAGCAAAATGGACTAGCCTGCTCTATCATTTTTTCACTTTGGTTTTCAGGCTTTCTTTGAATTCAGTCCTCTGTAGGTTGATCATTTTAATTTCCATCAAATGATGGGGCATCCTTATGTTCCTAACACATTACCCAGTCCATATCAGTATAGATATCCAGCATGATATTTTCCCCATCAAGATCTGATGTGTTTCCAAAGTGTTCCTTTAATTTTTTTTGAGCAGTGTATTTCAGCACAAAATCCAGACATTCTCACAACTATTTTTGTGTGCTCTTTAGAAATTCTGCCTTGTAGCAAAAATATCCTAACTGCATTAATTCCTGCTTCAAGGTGTATACTACTGTAAAGTCATCAATGGGGCCTTCTCCACATTAAAACTGTATTTCTGAATTAGGACAGTGGTTGACTTAGAAACGAAATAAGGATGTGTTTGATATCTCTATAATAGTCCTAGGATAATAATACTCTATATGTTACTACTACTACGTCCCCACCTTTGTCTTTTCATCCATGATAAATCAGGAACACCTTGTAGGTATACAGCCACTCCAACCCGTTTTACTCTGAATCTGGAGGTGCTGTGAAAAACGTAAGACTAGGTTACCACCTAAGCTTTTTGCAATGCATTTTACAGAAACGTACTACAGTCCATTTAACATGATTTCCAATGAGTGAAGCTCACATCTGTGCATTTTCAACTGGTGAGGTTTTTGGAAAGGGTCAAGGACTATTTAAATTGAAAAACGGTGCATTTTGGTTCAATATACTTCGATGGAGATGCTGCAGAAACATATGTAGTGTGTTTTTTATGTGTTTTGCATTTTTTATCTTCAGCAACAAGTTGGCCAAAAAAAACACAACGCATAAAAAAAGCACCAAAAACACTTGCAAAAATGCACTGCAGAAATGGATCAAATGCAAGCTGCATAGGTGTGAACGTAGCCTTATGCTTTTTTTTTTTTTATTTTTTTACATCAGTCTCAAAAACTGCTACGATCTTGCAATGGGTGTGTTTAGGTACAGTTGTCCTGTATTGCAAGCAGTGGAGGTAGTTTATTTATGACATAAACAAAACCTGTTGGAACACTTACTGTATGTGCTTACTGTTTGTTTTTTACTAGCTATTGACAATTCTTACTGTATTCCCTAGGACTTTGTAAATCAGTTCTCAGTATTGTTGCCAAGAAATGTTACACCTACCCGCCAGTGTATCCAGGAATTCTTCTGGAGAATTGGTCATAGCCCTGAGCTATATCAAGTTGGGAAGACCATGGTAAGGAATGACTTGTCCCTTTTTGAATTGCTATCATATGCAGTTTGTAATGAATGTATTTTACATAATTTTATGCAGTATTCCAAATGATCATGAATATTTCATAGGGATCATTTAGTGGGCTAACAAATGACCATTACATATTTTACCTGCTTGACAGCAAATGTAGGGTAATCTAGTATTGTCTTTTGCTCATTGTTTTTTGCTTTTTCAGGTTTTTCTAAAAGAACAGGAACGTCAGTGCCTTCGAGACAAGTTACATCAGACAGTATTACAGAGAATTGTTCTTCTCCAGCGCTGGATTAGGTCAAGGTTACAGCGCATGAGATTCTTGCACCTTAAAGATGCAGCCATCATCATCCAGGTATTAAAAGTGTTTTTTCACTGTCTTCAGCTAGATGCCCAGGAGTCTTAAAATGGAAGAGGACCTCCCCACCGTCTAAAAAGGACCTATATAAATACAACCATGATGTTTATTATATGTAAAGCTATGCTTAATAATTCAGTCACCAATTTTCTTTCAGTGCTCTGAAAGAACGGCACGGGTATGCTATTCCTTCAGAGTAAATTTCTCCTAAACGGTGCACGTTTACGAGATATTGATTTTACCTACAGGTAAGCTTTATTTTAAGTTTACCTGTAGGTAAGAACTAACAAAGTGGCTCTACTGCCACTTTAACCTACTGGGCACTTTCACTCCCTTCCTGTCCAGGACAATTTTCAGCTTTCAGTGATGTTGCACTAGTGACTATTGTGCGGTCATGCAACACTATACCCAAATTAAATTTTTTGAGACACATAGAGCTTTCTTTTGGTGTTATTTAATCACTACTTTAGCTTTTTACTTTTTGGAAAAAAAAAAAAGACCAAAAAGTTTGATAAAAAAATTTGCAAACAGGTAATTTTTCTTCTTCACTGATGTGCGCTGATGAGGCTGCACTGATGGGCACTGATAGGTGCTGATGAGGCTGCACTGATAGGCAGCACTGATGGGCACTGTTGGGACGGCACTGATGGACACTGTTGGGGCAGCACTGATGGACACTGTTGGGGCGGCACTGATGTCCTCTGATGTGTACATACAGTTGCCAGTTACAGGCTCTCCTCTCTCCTTATGCTGTGACAGCGTGAGGAAAGTGCAGCCGATAACCGGCAAGTATATTTACATTGTGTGTCATTGGATACAGCTGATTACGTGGTAAAAGGGTGCTGTGATTGGCCCTTTTACCATGTCATGTGATCAGCTAAGTCCAAAGGACACAGCAATCACAGAGCTCGCTGGGTGCGCCAGGGGGCACGCAGTGGGTGCAGTTCTGGAGGACGTCATATGATGCTCTCCCAGAACTAGATGACTGTGCTGTAGCTGTCATTCGGATATAGCCCATTTGTCAAGTGGTTAAGCTAAGTTTGGTATTGTTTGGTGGGGGGTTACAGAATCTTCCCCTTTCCATCCCTCTACTCCTCTACCCCCACCCTCTTATACTCTATTTATTTTTTTCCCCATTTTCCCCTTTACTTTCCCCTCTATCTCTCATTTCAACTGTTTTCTTTCTGCGTTTACAAGCTTGTGATTCAGGTTACAGTAGATATTCATCACCTACTTATTGTGAGATTCATTATTGGTGTGTATATATAAGACATTACACTTCTTATGTTACCACGTGGAATATGTCGCTGACGATTACCCATATCCAGGATGTTGCTCTGCTCCACTAGTTTCTTCTGCTTTTAGAACTGATGACAAATGTTTACTAATGCATGATATTTGATTTTCATGTGTAAGTACTGTCATGCCTTATAATATGTATGATGTCCTTTAATACACTTTATTGCATGCTGTACCAGAATGTGCATTTATATCTTTTGAAAATTTTCATTACATAGAAAGTTAAAAAAAAAAAAAAAGTTTGTTTTCACTATGTACTGGTCTTGTTTTAATGAGCTGATAAGTAAAACCTGTTATTTTACAGAGATGCTGGAGATGTTACAAGATGCGGTGGAATGCAGAGGAACTGCCAGTCAAGATCAACTCCTTTTTCCAGGCAGCTTGCATCATTCAGTCTTGGTGGAGAGGGCATAGGGCAAGACAAACCTATGTACAGATGAAAGCTTCATCCATTACTATACAGAGATCCTGGCGAGATCATTCTTTCCGTAAACAAAAAGCAGCAATATGCATCCAAGCATCTTGGAGGTGCTTTGTTCAAAGAAAACTGTACCAACATAAACGAAAACACATTATCACTTTGCAAGCAGCATGCCGAGGCTTTATAGCCCGACGCAGGTATTTTGATATACTTTCTATAGACTTTAGTTTTACAGCAATGTGGGATTGAGTATGTATATTCATGGCAGTTAATTTTACAGGTTACAGTTACTGAAGCAAAAAATGCCAAACTACTTCCAGCCAGAACTCTCCTTGGGAGATCATGATAATGGAGGATCCAAGACTCCGCCTCTAACTCCTGATACTGACATTAGCCACTGGGAAGACTCCTCTGAACAGACACAGCCAGATCTTCCAAGTCCAGCATCAGTACTCTCTGAAAAAAGTTTATGTGGTGAGGTGCACATCAGAGAGAGGCCAAAATCATTGGAAAATTCTAATCAGAGGAAAGTGGTTCGTGCCAAGAGGGAAAGCCGTCGCATGAGAGAACTTGAACAGGCCCAGTTCAGCCTTGAATTATTGAAAGTGCGAAGTGGTGGTGTCTCTCCTTCAGAGGAAAGGCGCTGGTCTGCCGAAATAATTTTAGATAAACACCCAGACACTCCTGAAAGTGAGGGATCCCTTGGCAGTTTCGAACATATTAGCTGTGAGGAGAATCAACAACCATTAGAGGAACATGTAGCAGATACAGTATCTAATGATCAACTTCCAAGTTCTCCTTCTCATAGACTTGCAGATACTGTCAGTGACACATCCCAAAACCTTCTCACCAATGACTTGCCTGCAACTTTAATGCCTGATCCAATGTATTCTCAGTCATTTGGATCTTCTAGCTCCCCAACTAAAGGAACATCTCGCCCTCCTGTGCATGACACCCAAAATACTACCAGTAATGATTCTATGAGCCACTCCAGCAATGCACTAAGTGCTAGCATTCCTAACCAAATAAGCTCTCCCACTAAGAGGGAACCTTTAATATCACACTCCAATGGCCCACAGAGTTTTCCTGCCTTTGGGTCACATTGCTCTCAGTCTAATGGCATTCCTTGCACACTTTCAAATGAAAACTTAAGGACAATGAAACAAGAAAATGTTTCATCCAATGGACCTGTGGACTTTAGTTTTCAGACTATTTTAACCAATCCTCCAGCCGCCGAGGAACCTGCCTCACCTTTACAAACTCCATTTGCACCACAGACGGCCTTCTCTGAAAGCCAAAAGGATCCAGTTTCTCATCACTCTTCATCTTCTTCCAGTGCTGTTGATATAGCTTGGGGGTCTGTCTCCACCTGGAGACAAAAGTCTCCTAGTGGTGAGCTATCCGAAAGTGCACCTGCCAAGGCGTCCGTCCCTGTTCCTTACAAGTCACATGTTCGTGAGCCTCCCCTTTCTAGCAGCCTCCCTACCTTTTATGTTCCAAACCAGGAATTGTCTAAAGATCAGGAGCAAAGTGATAATGCGTCGGTTCCATCTGACTTTGTCCTGCAACGACTTCAGAAGCTCAGTAAAGAAAAGGAAGAGTTACAGAAGCAGCTGCAGCAGGAAAAAGAAAAACTTATGATGCAGCAGATTCGTAAAGAAAACCAAGAGCTAGAAAGACAGCGTAGATTGAAAGAACAGCAGGGACATGTCAAAGAACCTGACCAATCTCTGCAGATGCCTAAGAAAGACTCTAACAAGCAGTCGGATAGGCCACAATCTCTTCTATTGCAGAGCCTGCAAAGGAAAAGCCACCCTATCCGAACAGAGATTAAAGGACTGACTGTTAAAGGGAATACAGGCTTGCACCATGACCGTCCAGCTAGCATGTTCCTTGAACAAAGGGAGCTGCGTGAAGCCCCCAAAGGGGATGTCTCTGGTGACAAAGGAAATGCAGGGAAGCGTCCCTGGCTGCACAGCGCTGTGAATTCCAGCATCTTTTTCACTCCCAAAGGGAATGTTAGTAGCGATTCAGAGTAAGTTTACTGGAATTAAAATTATTTTCATAGTAGTTTTTTCTTCATTATCTTTGTCACTTGTCATTTTGTGAGCAGTAAATTGAGCTATACAGTTTTGAAATCAATATCAGGTTAATTCTCCAGATACGCAAGTGAAGAAAAACACTACGGTGTTCTCAATTCTTTTTGTAGTAGCTTTGTTGTTAATAGGTGCAAGAAGATTAGGCACATAAATGAGAAAAATATATTGGGAACAGTTTGAAATTCATTTAACATGTAGATTATAAGCTATTATAAATTAAAGTGTATATTTATCAATGATTCACTAGTGAATTCCACCCAGTAAAAATTAGCTGAATTCACCCAAGTAAGACTCGACAGACTTTTTTGTCCAAGATTTGTCTCATATATTTTACATTCTTTGGGCAAATCTTGTTAGTACAGTTAGACGAATATTGATGGTGCAATAGCAGCTATTTTTCAACAATGGATGAATCTTTGTGCGGTGAATCTTGTTAAATGACAGAAGTATTTGTTCATTTCCTGACACACTTTCCATGGAGCTAAAGAGTTAATGTCATTTTTTTTTAAAGAAAGCAAGAAATGCAGTAAAGTGTCCTCCCTGCCTCAGCCAACCAGCTTGCCTCGCAGAGCATTCAGGCTGATATCCCCAGCCCTTATGCTATGCTAATACCAGCTCACATGGCCATGCCCTTCAGCACTGGTGAGGTGTGGAGGGTGGTGCTTTGCTTCCCTCAAAAGAATTATTGCTCAGTGCTGACCCCAGCACAGGCCTCTCTCTTAAGCACACCTATGCCCAGGAGGAAGAGCGGGTGCCAACAAGAGGGGCTCATGATCAGCTACCGGCCCACCTCTGTGGGGGACAAATAGGTGGTCTGAACTTTTTTGGACCCTTAACCAATCCACAGGTGCCTACCTGCAAGAGATACATGTAAATAATACACATCACACAAGAAATTACTGCCTAAAGATTTGATGATTTCAGGTCAGAGTTGAGGGAGTAACTAGAGGGGTAAAAGGAATATAAAGTATTTTCTTTTGTGTGGTGTGTGTTTCTCTACATTTTGTTTCTTAACCGTAACCAGCCGTTGACCCAAGGGACCCATAAAACCAGTTCACCAGGGAGGGAACAACCACCTACCTGCTTCCCTATAGTGGGACAGATAGGTAGAAAATGAATCCTCTCTTGCTTGACACTAACTCCTGGGAACTAGGTATGCTGAATAGTACAGCCTGCTTGTCTGGCATGTTATGCTGGTTAGTTCAGAAAAGGGTAGACAGTCTGGTTTTCTTTTTCTTTTTTAACAGTAAAAAAATAACCATATAAAGTATTTAAAACACAGATTCAGAGCTCTCCTCAAAGTGAAAATTCACAGCTGCAAAGAAAATGAGCACTTTAAAATTCACAATGAGATAATTTTAATATTTTGCAAGGTAATGAATGGGTGAATGTTGGGATAGTTTCCAAACTAATCAAAATTAGATAGAATGAGTAGTACACTAAAGCACTTTCCAATTGGCGAACAGGTGTTGGGCGAATCCTGTCTAGTAAAATTTTTATCAGAGAGATTTTTTTTTTTTCGGTTTTTACTTGTTCAGAAACATGTGCAAACCACAACCACTGTAATATCTAGAGGATATGTGGAAAATCAAATCCAAGAACTAGGTAAATATTTGGTGAATTTCTTGTGGAATTATTGATAAATCCATACTCTAGTGTAATGAGTTGTCCTAAAATGAAGAAACATACTTTCAGAAGATGATTATTTTTAGTTAGCCATCATGCAGATACACTGTAAAATGCAAAAGGTGATATTCTACGCTGGGTCATCTCTCAGCAGATAAAGAGAAAAAAATCTTACGTTTATCAACTTTTGATTTATTTTCCACTGGTTGTGTTAGCCTATTGTATGGTTTCTGTGTTACTATTATTATTATTGTACAGGATTTTTTTTTCCATATATATTTTTAAATGTGTTACATTTTCCAGTACTAAACAAAGAAAGGAACAACCTAGTACATAAATACTTCACATGTACTTAAATTCCATTTTACATCACCTTACCGCCTACTCACACCCTCCGTTTACCCTAGTCCGCATACTATAACCCAGTTTCCGTTTTCTCTCATAGTTGTCTGTCTATATCCATATCTCTTCTCTCACACACCCACTCTCTCTTTTGGGTACTCTGTTGAGCCCTCTCTAGATTTCCCCCTAGACTCCGACCAACTCCAGATATCTTTTAGATGTTTTAAAATTTAACCAACTGCTCCACGGTTTTTATATTTTTTTGTTTTATCCTCCTCTGTGTGATATAGCTCTTCCATCTTATAAATATTTATTCAATCATTTATTCATGGTGGCTCTAGAGCTTGCCAGAACTTGCGAATCAAGCCCTTAGCTGCACTAATTAGATGCTATAGTACCCTATTTTTATGCAGTTTCACTGAAGGCTCAAGATTATAAAATAAGCACGTCCACGGGTCCCTCTGTACAGTAACCCCACTTATTTCCTGAATATACTGGGTTATTCCTGTCCAGTAATCCTGTATTTTTGGGCAATCCCACCATATATGTGCCATTATTCCATTTTCCCCACAACATCTCCAACACAGCGGTGATACCTCTACTTGTTGTGTATATGCCATACTCGGTGTAATATACCATCTCGCCAAACCTTTTTATTTCATTTCAACTGTGCTCATGTTTATCACCTTGTGTGTTACATTAAATATTTTATTCCTTTGTTGCTCATTCAATTCTGTTCCAAGTTCATTTGCCCATTTTTCCCAGAACTGGGGAGGATCAGCTTCTTCCATATCCATAAGGATCTTATAAATCCTAGAAGTGGATTGTTTTGGACCTGTAGTTACATTCAACAAGTTTTCAAATGGATACTGAACTTCCAGTGTCATCAGTGGTTGTGGGAGCATTGAAACAAAATGAACTAATTGACCATACCACCACTCATCTAATGTAAATAATAAATCTTTTTTCCTCTTGAAATCTAAAAAGTGTGCAATTTCCCTTCATTCAAAATATCCTTCAATTGTGCATTTTTATCTTTTAATCCATTTCCCTGAGGTATTATCCTTCCCTGGGGGGAAATACTCTGTTCCCACCACGGGAGTCAATACTGAATTATATTTCCATCCTTTTTGCTTAAACATTCTATCCCAAACACTTAAAACGTTCTTTGTCAATGGGCTAGTATTCACATCCAATGTGTGAAATTTATGTGGAATCCAAACAATCTTCTCTAAGTGTGCCTTACTTAAAATCCCTTCCATGTTAACCCAACCTTTCCTATGTGACTTGAATGTCCAGTCTACTATTTGTGATAATAACACCGCTACATATTTCCTAACATTAGGCAAAACCAATCCCCCTTTCCCATTTGCCCTAGATAATTTTCATTTTCTACCCCCCCCCTCTCCACGTCCTGATGATGCATCCAGCTGAGGATCCAGACACAAATTTAAATCTCCTGCCACAATCAGGGTACCCTTTTTAAATTCAAGAAGTTTTCTTAAGACACCCTCCAGAAATGTTACTGGGTTTTTATTTGGACAGTAGATATTAACTAATGTGTATTCAAATCCTTGTAATTTTCCCGTCAGGAAGAGAAACTGACCCTCGGGGTCCTCTATTCTCCCCTCCAGGGTGAAACATGTTTTTGAAAACCCTACTTACTCCTTTAGCCTTTTTGGATTGGAGAATCCGCATAATACCACCTTGGATAATACTTCAAATATAACTTGACGTTTGTATCATGAGTTATATCTGTCTCTTGAAGAAACAGTACATCTATGGAGTGTTGGTGGATTTCCCTCATTATCTTGTGTCTTTTTGTCGGAGAGTTTAACAATTCCAATTATTAGTCATAAATTTTTAGGATTATTTCTACTGTTCACTACACTACCTAATTTCCTGTCAAAGGAAGACCGATATGGACGTTCTCCCTTCCCCCCGTTTCCCTCCCTACCCACCTCTGTTCTCCCACCCACCACCCTACTTCCCACCCTCCCTTTCCCCTTCTTTTCTTACCCCTAAGACACTCTTGGCATACAAATTGCCCTGGAATCTGTCGTGGATTGTTCCCACTCACGATTGCTACTTTGGGGTGAGACTTAAAACAATCACACCCCCTCCAATCCCTAGCACGTGTAATCAGTCAGATTGGAGTTTGGCAGCATGCTTGACCTCCAGGCCACCCACCAGATCCATGTCTTCTCAACCCCTCCCTCCCGAGATCTCACGGGATTGGATGGGACTGAGGGCGAAGGAGTCATAGTGCAGCGGGCCGAGGACCAGGCAAAAATGAGAGGGGTGGAAAGAGAAGAAGAAAAAAAAAAAAAAAAAAAAGAACACCCCCTCTCTCTAAACTTCCCACACACCACACCTCCTTGCTTCTTCCTAAGTACCCACTGCCAATTCCCTGACCCCTGCCCTCCACGCTCCTTAAACTCCTCTGACCACCCTTCAATGTCTATTTTCTATAAGTCTAATTTCTCACAAAAGTCACTGAGATCTTCTGGGAACTTCAGTCTTGTGATTTTCCGTCTTTCCATCTGATCAAGCATGCTGGAAAGCCCCAGTTATATCGAACTTTTTTCTTTCTCATGTGCACCAACAGCGGTTTCAGAGCTTTTCTTCTAGCCAGTGTCTCTGGAGCAATATCAGCAAAAATATGCAACTTTGTTTCCTCATATTTTATTTCGGTAGTGTCATGCAGGCTTTTCCATATTCTCTCTCTATCTTCATAGTAATGTAATTGAACTATTACGACTCTGGGGCTTTCCGCCAGCATTTCTCTTGGGGCCGTCTAATCCTATGTACTTTCTCAATTTTCAGTGTTTCTGTCGCTGGTTTTCTCATTATTGGGTTACACACTCTTTTTCTCCCCTAAATCCTCTTGCTGTTCTCCTGGTAGACCCCGGATCCTTAAATTCTTTCTTCTGTCACAGTTCTCCTGATCTTCCAGTTTAAATGAATGCTTTCTCTGTTCTCTATACATCTCCTTCATCTGCGTTTCTAGTTTATTTATTAGTTGAATGTGTGCCTCCATTCTCCCCTCTACTTCTTTCACTCGCGTTTAGTTTCTGACCCAAATCGTTGCGTAATACCCCCATCTCATTTTTGAAAGGCATTTCCAATTTTGCATCAGTTTTTGTTGGTATTTGGGACATGGCTCCTTGCTGTTCCGTGATTCTTTGTTCCATGACACTGTCCAAACTTATTGAATCGTTAGTCTGGTTCCCTTCCCAGGACCCAGATGACAATCTAGATTGGTCTCCATTAAAGTTTCCAGCTCCTTCTTGTTGTCTTTCCTGATTTTGATTCTCCGGACTTTTCTCCTGGAGGGACAAATATTTTTTGATTGTAGTGGCCTTCGCATTCAGTTTGGGGGTTTTTGATCCCCCACCTTTAGCTGATTTGCCCTTCATTCCTGGTTCAACTCTCCTGTTACTTTGCTGTTATCTCATCTTCCAATACCTGTCACACAGGTAATCACCTGCGCGTCCTTGCACTGGAGTTTCTGTTATAATGCAATAGAATCGTCCCCAGGAAAAAGGCCTTTTTTCTTTTTACTTCTAATGAAGTTTGCCACTCCTGTTCTATTACTTTGGGGGCCAAAGTAAGTTGAGCAGTTCTGCCAACCCAAAAGAACTAGTAGGACCTGAGAGAACCCCCCCACAGTATAGTCCTATGTCGCCCCCAGTGTTCAGGTAAGTTTGACTTTGATACATATGCATCAGATAGAACAAAAAGTTAAATGTCCTGCCGTTACCCACGCCAACTCACGCTCTCCCTTTTGTACTGACCATTCAGTACCAATCAGACCCTGTTCGCTCTTCGGCCATGGCCTCCACGTTGAACTTCCGAACACACCTGTGGGGGGACTCTATGCATAAGTGATGGTCTGTGGGGTCCCTAGGTCTCCTGAGGTTGGTATCTCAGCACTGGAGGGGTCCTTCCGTAGTCTTGTTTCTGTTTCCTGCATTCCTGCTCTCCTGGACCTTTGGGACTTCCCTGTGGACTGGGAAGTTCTGTGTTACCTGGGCTCTCCTAGCCACAGCAAACCGCTCCCAGCCCACCGAGGACTCAGATCCCCTACACTCCTTGTGGCTGCTGCTGATCACAAACCGTTCTGGGGACCTGACTCCGCAAGGGTCCTCCACCCACACCAGTCACCGCCGGGACTGTCCAGACCCCATTGAACCGCAACCCCCACTCCAGCCTGGGCTTCCCTCTGGTCAAATCTGGAAGGGAAGGCATTCCACTTTTCACAATATTGGCGGGCGCCTAGAGCTCACACTGCTCATGCAGCCATGTTCAGGCCCCTCTCCCCCAGCGGAGCAAACGTTCTAAAAAAAAAAAAAAAAAAAAAAAAGGATTGTACAGGATTTATATAGTGCCAACAGTTTGTGCAGCTCTTTAGGACTCGTTAACATGCACGTTGATTATGAAGAACGACGCAACACTCATTACCATGCCTACAGCCTTTGAAGTGTTTTTGGAGCGTTTTTGTTGGGAGTTGCTTGCACTGGAAGTGATGTAAAGGAAATGATCTACAGAGGCGCAGTTAGGTTTTGGTGTGATAGCAGAAATTTTTGTGAATTCTCTGCAAGATGAATTTGTAAACTTTGATCTCTTTGACACTTGGCTTGGTCCAGCTCAAGATGATCATGGAAAGAATGGTCCAGTCAAAAAGAGGAGGGTGTTGCACTGGTATTAGTATTGCCGGCACTGATGCTTGCATCAACACAGTTTTTTCGCCGTCAAAAATGCTCAAAGTCTTTTCTCCTGCTTGGCACTGTCAGTATTTTTGACTGGCTTGATGCTTTTGCCTGCACACAGAAGCAAATGGTTTTTCGAAATAGCTGCTTTGTACAAGCAGGAAGTGGTTTGAGCTGCTCTGTCCTAGTTCTCTTCCCAGTGCATTCTGGGATACAAGTACCTCCACTGCCTTTCCCTTAGCGCCTAGCCACCACTTCATCAGTGCTTGATTAACATTCTGTAAATGCTATAGATGCCATTAAAGCACGGTTCTTGCTTCTTAACATTGAAATTAATGGAGGAGGCTGATAAATGCCAATGCCACATTCACAACACAACACCTACACACCTGTGTGTACTGCACTGTGTGGTGCCAATTGTAACATTCATGGTAGGCATTGAAGGGTGGTTATGAGGCTTTAAAAACACTGCTCAAATGCTGCTTAAACATATGTGATGCACATGTGAGCGAGCCCTTATAATTGCTCCGACCTCTCCTTGTGTTGGAATAATGCTGTGTAGTCTTACGATAGTCCTTTTAATATAAGAAGTAGATTATAGGTCACTACCAACAATGGTTTTGGTTTGTGTTCTGTGCAGGGAAGCAAAGATGAAAGTCATTTATTTTAATTATTTATTTATTTTATTTTTTTTGCAAAATGTATTTCTTTTGTTTACACCATTTTATTGCACTCCCTTTATTCGTCTGAAAAATGCATTCTTAGGGCTCATGTACACGGGGCGTTTGGAAAACTCTTCTGACCACTGAAAACTGACTGCTAGAAAACGTAGGTTAAAAAACGTCAGATTATTATTATACAGGATTTATATAGCGTCAACAGTTTGTTCAGCGCTTTACAATATAAAGGGAGACAATACTGCAACAATACAGTTCAATACAAGAGGGAAAGTAGGGCCCTGCTGCTTGTAGCCGCCTTTTGCATACCGCGTTTATGCGCGTTTACGTTTAGAAGCGTTTTTAAAAGATAACCTCAGGAGACCCTCCCAAATGCCCAGAATGCACTGAAAAATAGTAAATTAACTATTTCAGACATTTTGAGAGAAATAGAGCAGAAGCAGAGAGAGCAGTATGTGTTGGGATGACCTGTCTTTTCTGGTTGTATTCACTATGGATCCCAACATGAGCATAATGCAGCACGTCCTACCATTTCTTTCCTTCATGCGAAACCTGGAACTGACTGTACTGGTGTACTGGGTCCATTTGAATACATGGAAAACACTTTGCATGCATTTTTGATGAAAAAAGGCTCCAGACAGCATCTGGATATGGACCTGTCAAAAAACGCGTCTAAACACAAACGCTTATAAACGCAGTTAATCACATTTACAAGTGTTTGGCGTTTGAAATGCTGGTAAAATTACTCCTGAACGCAATTTTGATGTGTTCAAAAAAAACGTCTGTAAACTCAACTGCCTGTAAACGACTATGTGTACATGGACACTTAGGAAAACATAAAGGAGAGTTCAGGGGCTGCTGAAAAAAACGCTCAACAGCTCCTAAACGTCAGTTTAGCAGCTGCAGTGTAATGAGCCCTTAGGCTTTGCTTGTTATGCTGGCCATACAAAACTCGAATTTCAGCCATTTCCTGCTGCATAAAACAAAATTCAAGTTGTGGGTGGCCCTATCGGAATCGCCCATCTTGGCAAACTTTGATCTGGTAATTTTTGGCTGAGCAGTGACTGCAGCCAATCAATTCAATCAAAGTTCAGGTATGCTTATATCCGCAGGAGCAGCAACTGTTAGAATACAATAGCCAGCAGGGGACATTCTTCTACCAGCTTGGATGGGGGAATCTATTGATTTCTCACCCAGCCCCGTGGCTAGCCTTAGGTCTTATTCACACTTGTGATTAGGAGCAGACTGAAAATTCTAATGGAGATTAAACGGATATATGTGAACAGATGCTCTATACAAAGCAATAAGAAGCTGACAGCTCCCATACCCAATCATGGCTGTTTGCGTGCTGTGGGCACTGTCAGGTTTTTGTATAGAGAACATTTGTCCCAAGGTTAAAACAAGCATGTGTCCAAATAGAGATAAAGTAGCTTAACAAACTGTAAATGCACAACCGTTATGGAAATTAAAGAGAATGACTGCATACATTTCTGGACCCTTGAGAGATGTGATTGCTCAACACGTGCCTGCCCCTTTTGGTTATTTTATCCGCTTGTACTTAAAGGACGACATTTTGCGTTTTGTGCTGTCTTCTTTAGGCTGCATCAATAAACACTCACAAACATGTGGTAGACAGCTGTATTTATGACATAGAAAAGAAAAAGCTGTGAGCATTCAGTTCTAGGAATGCACGCCACATTTATCCTACATGGGCCATTCCTAATCGTTTTTGTTGGTATTGCCTGTAATAAGGAATTCTCCACCGTATTTCAAATTCATTGTCCTACAAAGATATAAAATATTGGTATAGGCATACCTTAACCAGCAACCACTAATAAGTACAGAAGAAGTGACACCACCAGCGAGTGACTTATTCCACAAGCTAAAGACTGAGTTTAAGTTAGCAGATATATTTTTTTAGGCCATGGCCTAAAAAATTTAAAGTAACTAACTTCTCCGTGTTATTCTTTTCTTTAAGATATGCTATAAAAGGCTTGGGTCACATAGCTTTAACCATAAATGGGTACTTCTCTTATTTGCTTCCTTTTGGTCTCCAAATTTTGCCATTTAAAGCTTGTTATGTCTGTTCGATATACCTGTTGATACCGCCAGAAATCCTGTGAGCTGATAACTTTCTGTTCTGTCTGTCATTATTAACTTTTATAGGTTAGCATTGTTCCCAGCTTTCATCTGTGAACTATAAAACACATACTGTATTTTATGGTGAAGAGGAGAGGAAGGGGGTAGTATGTAGTCCTAAAACACTTCCTGTCCTAAAGTGACAAAGCTGTTTCTTCATAGATCTAGTACAGTGAGTGAGCACTATCATTTGTGGATAGAACGTATGTTACTGGTAAGGTTACCAGGTGAAAATAAAGGATCTATATTTTGTTTTTTTTTGCTGACTTCGTATTATCCTATTGTAGCAACTCCACTGTTCAACCTCACCGAATTGGACGCAGCGATCCAGTAAAGAGATTGGATGCAACAGAACCATCTGGAGTCAGTGAGGTGAGTGCTAGCTTTGTTAACAGGCGGTAAACCTAAGAAAATGCTCTTTTCAGTATCTCTAGGACAGTTCACCATATCTACATATACAGATCACCCAGCGTTCCCAGATCAATCATCTAGTCCGTTTTTTTTTTTTTTTTTTTTTTTGTGGTTTGCTTTTAATGTAGGTGTCCTCTTTGTTGTTTCCACATTTCTCAGTTTTATGGGTTTTTTTGTGTATTTGTTCTTGTGTGTTTCCTCATGTCTGTTCTGTTTATGGTGTGGATTATCTTTTTGCATCATGTAATTTTTGTTTTATTTTTCGTCCCCCATGTCCTTTGTCATTTGTCTGTCAGGCCCCACACAGACGAAAAGCTCGCATGGCGCGAACTCGCTCAGATTTTATGACTAGAGGGGGGCAGACTCTGAGGAGGATTCAGATGAACAGGGGGAGCCGAACCCCTCCTCCAATCCTAATGAGGAGGCAGGCAGACAGGTCCCGGCTTGTCACAGCGACTCTGAAATGGTAAATCCAGAAAAAGCTGTAGTATGAATCACTTACACCAATTGGTACAGGTGACACATTACCATTTCTTTTTGGACAGGGTTAAATCTTTTGTTCTTCTCGTATGAAGAATGCGTCACATATCATACCTTTTGCTCTGCCACATGCTTATTCCACATCTAGCTTTTAGTTTCACGTGTTAGAGCTGTTGCTGCTTATATCTCTGGCTTAGTGCACATTAATCGGACCATTTGAATCTTTCCAAGATTATAAAATCTACTTTATATTTCATAATCATCTGTAGCACCAATCCCTGCATCATATGTCCTAATCCTTTAACTTTTGGACATTGTACTTTCTTCTTGTGCCAGTGTATGTACCTCTCTCATTGTATGCAGATATCATGTTCTTCCAACACCATAGAATCTGCAATTCTTAACTGTAATCTCTGTATAGATTTTCCTATTGCAATAAAGCAAACCTTTCACACTTAGGCACAGATGTCTCTGTTGTCTCCTGGTGAACAGTCCATTTGTGTATTCGTGGCTTCTCTGTTTTGTTCTTTTTTATAAGTCTTTCTCTAATAGCATGGACCACCAATGTCTTGAAGATCTTTGTCACGACAGCACTGTTTCCACCAACTGTACAGCTTTTGGCATGCTAGAGGAAAACCAATATGACCTCCTGAAGAGAAAGTTGTGGTTTCGATTGGGAACTAACACATTTTTCTTCCTTTTTAGCAATGCAAGCATTGTCAAAGGCTCACAGCTTACCTTGTACAACTAATTAATATTTGTTGCAGTTCCAGAAGAGCGAGTCTCTACAAATGACTACCACTGAGGACAGTAAAGGCAATTGTCATTTTATATTAAGGGTTCATGCACAGGCACGCAGTGTACATTCGAGTGTAATTCTCTGCCAGGGAGACATGGGTGCTGTGTACAGCCCACTGCCAGCAGCCTGTCTAAATCAATGAAAGTGGCTGTACACAGACATACGCACATCAGAGTGCTACTTACGCATGTGGACATATGAACTGCCCCAAATAGAAACAGGCTGTGCTACACCAGTGACTCCCAGACAAAGAATTGCTCCCTGGTGTCGCTGTGTGGATCTCTTACAGCCGTGCACATGATCCCCAAGGGTTTTCAAACCATCTGTAGATTTCCCTTCATGTTTTCCACATTCTATTTAAGTTCAAGTCTTCCCCTGACAAATAATTATATGGTACAAATTACCGAACTATTTCCCCTGTTCTGGGGTTGGTGCTTTCATGATGCAGTACAAGGCCTTATATCTGAAACAAAACTCACCAGTAACAATAAAAAATAACTAGGTGAAAAAATGATAATTATGTAATGGATTAGTGCCATTTTTAACCAGAATTTTACTTAATATGAATATATTTAACAACGTCTATTATTAATTACTGTGATAGCTTGCATTTTCTGTTTTATATAATAATTTGGAAAAAGTACATACAATCATATTTGGGTTCAATGTAGAGCTTACTGGTAGAAGATTAAATTGATATTTTCATTTCATACTGTTTATTGGAACTTTGTTGTGGTGTATTGTCAAGGTATCCATGTCATTTTGGTTGTTTACATGCAAAGTGAGGTAACTGAATATTGTCTTTTAGATGTTACAGAAAGTTCAGGCGGGGGAGAGGCCCAGCAAGCTCCAGAAGGCTGTTTCCCAAGGAGAGATGTCACGTTTCATACCTCCACATAGAGCTGCAGAGCCAGACGTGCGGTGAGACATTTCTTCTGTGTTTGGTACATGGAGGCACCTCCACCCTCCACGACTCCTATTGAAGAAACGATATGTTTACAGTATATATATTTTGAGTCCATCCATTGAAACCAGTGATTCTCATTCATAAAAACCTTATATTTGATGCTATTGCTGCAGTACCAATTTCTTAATTGAAAGTGTTAGGCATAAATAAATGTATTGAATGCAGTGTACAACCCCAGGGTGAACCATGCACATCACTACATAAAGCGATCCCAAATAGGATTTTCAGTTTCCCTCTCTTCAGAAATATTGATTCAATTATTTGTCATGTTAGTCCTCAGAGAGGGAAGATTCGCTTCTGGGGGAAGACGAAAGCAGCAGAGAAGTTGACTCCTCAATCAGAGATTCTGGAGATGGACACTGAGCCTACAGGGAAAGAGGGTACCCATTTCATGGATGGTGAGTGTAATAAAATTCTAGCAAATACATTTCAGTTTGGATGTTCCTCATTGTATTTGTTAAACCTGTGTACCCTAGAGCAGTGGTCTCTAAACTGCTGTCTGGGGGTAGATGTAGCCTTTTGCTTGCTTTTACCTTGGGGCATTATTCCTCTCACTGTTACAAGGCAATATTGCTCCCTTTGACACCAACAACGGAATAATTCCTGTCACTGATACCAACAAAAGGGCACTATTCCTACCAATGACCCCAACAATAGGGCAGTATTTCTCCCACTGACACCAACGGCAGAGCAGTCTTCTTTCCACTGACACCAATGATGGGGCACTATTCCTTCCCCTAACACCAATGGGGCAATATTCCTCCCACGAATACCAATGATGGGTTATTGTTTACTCCCATTGACACCAGAGCATTTTCTACTCTCAATGGCCACAATCTGGCCCCCTCAAAGTCTGAAGAACAGTAAACTGGCCCTTTCTTTAGAAAGTTTGGAGACTCTTGTCCTAGAGAATTGTTTCCTTAAAGTGGAACTGTGGCCAGTGATAGCATTCTTTTAAAGTTTTAAAGCCTCAATTAACACACTTGTCTATCATTTTTGCTTCTTGCTCTTTTGTGAACAGTGGAATCAGGATTGTGGCTTGTTCCTCGCAGTCCAGATCTCAGCCGAGGACGTGAAAAAGAAAACAAAGACCCCTCTCCAAAGGTACAACGCAGGAAGAGTCTGAAGATCAGTAGTACTACTCTGGAACCTGCACAGTGGCAGAATGAACGAGCACAAATCATTTGCAGTGCCAGTGACTTGAAGTGTATGGATGAATTTCTGCAAAAAAAGGTGAAATATCTTTGTTACTACAGGGTCGTGTTTTTCAATTGTTTTGTGTTCATTTTTTATTGTGATGTTAGTATAGCTGGTAACCACTTGAGTCCACTGGCTTTGTAAACTACTCTAACGTTGTATACGTTTTTTTTTTCGGGGCAGATAGGGCTCTAATGTAGTAGCAAATTTGGATACATGCTTTTTATTAAATAGTAAATACAAATAGAAAATAAAAGTATTTTCTGTCATTTTTGCCAATGCAACATTTAATTAATTTGCACAAAATAAAATTAACAGAGTCTGCTGATTAAAATGATATCATGTTAGTGCAACTTTTATGTAACGTAGCAATATGGTAACTCTCAAAATGGATGTATGCACTTTACTGTAGAAGAATTTGTTTCCCTTTCAATGCCATTGCAGAAAAATGGTTTGTGTAAATTAGTGGTGCACCAGAAAATTCTGTTACCGAAAACCGAAAATTCAAAATGCACTTGGCCGAAAACCGAAACCAAAATGCGTAGTTTTTTAAAAATGAGTATATATTTTTTGGGAAAAAAATACACTGATTAAAAAAAAACCATCTATACCCAAATTTATTTGTAAAATATGAAAGAGGATGTTACAGCGAGTAATTGGATACCCAACATGTCATGCTTTAAAATTGTGCACGCTCGTGTAACGGCGTGAAAATGCGATACTTAAAAATCTCCATGGGTGATGCTTTAAAAATTTCTACAAGTTAGAAGTATAACGTTACAGAGGAGGTCTAGTGCAAGAATTATTTCTCTTGCTCTGACGTTCATGGCCATACCTCACGTGTGTGATTTGAACACCGTTTACATATGTGGGCATGGCCTACGTGTGCTAGCACATGTAACTTTTTTTTTTTTTTATGTATTTAATGGTTTTTTGTTTTGTTTTGTTTTTTTTGTTTTTGCACTGTCCCTTTAAAAAAAATTTTAATCACTTTTATTCTTATCACAAGAAATGCATGCATCCTTTGTGATAGAAATACATAGTGACAGGTCCTCTTTATGTAGGGATATGGAGTCAATAAGACCCCACATCTCTCCTCTACAATTTAAAGCATTGTATCAAAAAAAAAGCATTGATCTAGTGCTCTAAATAAAAAAAAAAATGGCCGGAATGGGAAGTGACATCTCTCTGGTCCTCCAAGGGCATAGAGATGATTGGCGGTTATCTTTCCTGCACTTATCTCTATGCCCAGCACCGGGATCAATGGTTTATCAGGTAAGGCTGTGAACTACGGGGTGGCGGCGAGGAGTGGGGGAATTTCGGCCCTTGTATTGGTTCTTTTTTTTTTCATTGTTACAAATACAATGAGGAACATCCAAACTGAAATGTATTTGCTAGAATTTTATTACACTCACCATCCATGAAATGGGTACCCTCTTTCCCTGTAGGCTCAGACTGCCTGGTCTGATCCGCCCACTGTGCTTCATAGTAATGTTGGGGGGTTCTGCAGTCCTGATGTATCTGGGAAGTTAGCATTTGGTTGAAACACTGATATACATTCAAAGTTAAGAGGCTAGCATGCATTTTCCTTCTAATTCCAGAGATTGTATACCAGGGCAGCTTGCAGATTTCTTTATTGTAGTTAAATGTATTCCTCCCATTTTTAGATTAACGATCTGGATTCTGAAGATGGAAAGAAGGATTCTTTTGTGGACGTTCTCTTCAAAAGAGCTCTGAAGGAATTCCGACAGAATATTTTCAGCCTGTATTCAACCACACTCATGGTAGTTTTTTTTTTTTTTTTTTTTTTTTTTTTTTTACAAGAACGTTTTAATATATTTTACATTTAACATAAGGTCAAATTCTCTGGAATTCATAGAGTGTTGTAGACACACTTTAGAATTCCCGATCTCATCTGCATAACTAGTGTCAGTGTGGGCAACAGATTCATGTATCTGTCAGAAAAAGATCTGTTGCATTGAGGGGTGTGGCGGCACAGAGATTGGAGTGTCCATACCAAGGACACTCTATCCCCAATGTAGGTGTAGCTCCTTGCAAGCAAGGACACTATAGAGTACCTGGCCATGGCCATATTGTACACTGTTGTCAGCAGCATCCCTGCCCCTTTGTTTACTTTCAGCTGTCAACTGGGGAATCTTCCAGTTGGCAGTTGAATGGTGCTGAAATGCGTTACTAGTTGGTAGAACGCCAGCAGCTACCAGCATTTTTAACTAATGTGCTTGAAGCTGTAACGTTGACAGTTTTCAGCACAAATGCAATACTCTGAGCCCTGTAGCATCTCTGTACAGCAGTTCAAAATTGGTTGGTCTTAATTACTGCCAGTTTGCTCATCTGTGAACTGGCGGTACTTTTTTGGGGTTTTTTTTATCTGTCACAGCCATAGCAGATAGATTCTAAAATTGGTGATAGTAAAATTGTTTGAATCTGGCACATGTGTTGGTAATGGTACCAAAACTGACATACAGCTTTCATGAATTAGGCTCAGGCTATGTTAAAGGGTACATGCTGCCAAAAAAAGTCTCCTTATTGCTCTACTGAATTCCCCCATTGTGTCTATGTGATTCCACAGTGCCTTAAATGTTGTCACAATGATGATTGTGACTGCTGTATTTTATCCAAAAATAATCAACATAATCTAGTTCTTTTAAAATCTTATTGTCAATTATATGCATAATATCATGTCTGAAGGTATTTTCACTTAAAGTATCAATTTAAGTTAAAAGCTATTTAAGCAGAAGATCTATTTTTATCAGTAAAACCATGCAAAGTCCAATGAAGTTGGAAATCAGATTTCTATCTCAGCTGTTTGCATATACAGTATGGTATATGATTTCAGTTATGGATTATTGAGGACAGTGCTCTTTACATATTGATTTATACCATTGGTGGTCAACTTGAAAATTATACAGAGCAGCCCCCAACACTTCCAGAGGGCTGCACAATAGCAGCACATTTTTGCACCTCAAAGCCCAAACATTTTGGTGCTACTTTTTTTTGCAGCGTATTGTGGTGCACACTGAAGAAGTTGAAGTATAATAACCCCCAACATTGCTGTCAGTGCACCCAGTAATAACTTCCTTCATCGATACCAGTGAGTGCACCAACGCCAGCAGTCGAAATAATAGCCCCCAACTTTGGTGTTGGCACTATTCTTTCCCCCCTCATTGCTGGTTATTAGCAGTGGAATTGGATCCCCCTGCATTGATGGTCAGTGGCAGTGAAATATCTTCACCCACTGTACAATCTTTTTCTCAGTTGTGGAGATGACTCTGCCCACAGTACAGTCTTCCTTTCAGTTGCGGGTGCTGGAACACAGAGAGCTTTCTGGCACCCCGATGTCACGCTATCTATATGCACCATAATAGGACGTGGATCGGATAAAGAGGGACTGCGGGCCTTTTTTGGGGGCACAAGGGATCTGTACAATTGTGTGTAATTTTCTACTTTTTATGACCATCTTGATTCCTTGTAGGTATACGTATATGTATATAAATGTAATTGTGTGACCTGTAACAGGGAGAAGATGGAAAGAGTATCCGATACAGGGATCTAGGGGCCCTGTTTGAGCAGATCCTCGATAAAACCATGAAACAGCATCAGCCACGGAGCTGGAGTGAATCACCAGTGAAAGTTTGGATCAATACATTCAAGGTTTTCCTGGATGAATTTGTCACCGAATATAAACCACTGAATTATACTCCAGGAAAGGTAATTGTAAGCACCCGACCTACAGCAGTAAGCCCTTTATGATAGGATATATTTTGTATTGAAATGACAATTATGCTGTGTTTTTCATTTTAAGGTTCAAAAGACAGAACGGAAAAAAAAGAAGGAAAAAAGAATCCGATATTGTAAGTTTATAAAAATCATCTTGTCAGTTTTACCGATCCGTCTCTTTTAATTGATTAGCCTGCTTTTTACTTTATTTTAAAAATCACTCGTTCGTGTCATCTTTTGTATCATTTGTATTCTTAAAACCAATGCCTGTCAGTGTTTATCATCTCCTGTGGTGTCTTTTTATTACCACTTTTTACCCATTTTTCTCCCTGTATTTTAGTTAGAGGAGCACAATGGCCATATATTTAAAGCCACTCAGTACAACATTCCCACATACTGCGAGTACTGCTCTTCACTTATCTGGATCATGGACCGAGCAGCTGTTTGTAAATGTAAGAATGCATGAAATACTTTAATTAAATTTACAGATGCACTTGTCATAACTCAATATGAGCTCATGTCAGAAATGCATATGCTGTTTTATAGTCTTTTTCAGGTGTAAGGGGGGGTTAGTAAAATAAATATGAAATGTAGAAGTGTAAACACAGCTACTCCCTTCTTTCAAATTTATAAATCTGCTGCACTGTTTTTCAGCATTAAAATTCCTGCTGAAAAAGTTAAAATATAAGAGACATAAGCCAATGTGTCAGACTCTCCAATCTAGGTGAACTGTTTATTAAAATTAATGTTGTATAAAAATCCCTTTTATATTTCCATAGTATAGACTGGTATATAGAATGCTTAAATGTCAATACCTGTTTGCTAATTACTACCTTGGTACTGTTTCTCAGTGTGTAGATTTGCCTGCCACAAGAAGTGCTGCTCACAGATCACTACTACATGCAGTAAAAAGGTAGATTCATTGTTTACCATGAGACTTCCATATATTGTAATGCACTTTGATAGCAATGTGTTGCCTATAAGTATTTCTGTCTTTATACAAATATTAATCTTTACAATGTTACTCTCTTGATTGATTTCTTCTTCTTTTCTGCTATTTTTAGTATGACAATGAACTGTCCCCCCGCCACTTTGGGATAGAATTGTCACGTCTTACCAATGAGGACCGCTTGGTTCCTGTGCTGCTGGAGAAACTCATCAACTACATTGAGATGCATGGCTTGTATACACAGAAGGAATATACAGAAAACCAGGATCCACCAACAAGATTCGGGAACTTAGACAGAACCTGGACACAGGTGACACCGTGGCTCCTCTCTTCTCCCTTTCTAACTATGTTTCTACTATGAGTTCCATGCTATAGTTTGTAGGTGACATGTGCTTTTTGTTTAGCGTTCCTATGTCTCCTGGCTGTTAGGCCCCTTTCACACTAGTGGACCAATCGGTCTTTCAGTTTTTCAGGCAGACCCGATCAGTCCATCCATAGACTTCTATGGACCAGCGAGTGTCCACAATAGTCTGCTGACACCTGCCGACATCCCATCCGATCGGATGACAGTCAGGTGGAAACGGACAGGCGGTCCATTTCCATCTGACCGTCCCATTGAAATCAGCGGGCAGTGGAGAGATCCCCCGCTGAGCAGGAGGATCACACTGATAGATCCGCCCTGTCTGAAGGGTACCTTATTGGAAACTGCGTCTAACTTTGCTAGTGCTTATTATTAAAAGCATTTCAGAAGAATTAAATAAAAGCTTTAAATGTACAAAAATGAACTGTTGTAGATAGGATACCTGCTTCTGAGCTGCCACTATTTACCACTTCAATACAGGGCCACTTTTTACCCCCTTCCTGCCCAGGCCAATTTTCAGCTTTTGGCAATCTCAGTTTGGAAGACAATTGCGTGGCCATGCAACACTGTACCCAAACTAAATTTTTATAATTTTTTTTGCACAAATAGAGCTTTCTTTTGGGGGTATGTAATCACCACCGGGTTTTTATTTTTTGCTAAATATATGAAAATAGACCGCAAATTTAAAGAAAAAACCCCAAATATTATTTTTTGTTATAAAATTTAGCAAACAAATAATTATTCTTCATAAATTTAGGCCAAAATTTATTCTGCTACTTTTCTTTGCTGAAAATAAGCCAAATTAGTGTATATTATTTCTTCTGTAGGAAAGTTAGAGTCCACAAATTATGGTATATATCTGAAAATTGATCAATCATGATCATGATGTACTGATGGCACTGATCTCATTTCTTGAGGCCCAAAAATGTCAGGACAGGACAGATATCCCCCAAATTAGAAAGTAGACAGTCTGCGGTATTTAGTAAGAGAAATGGCAAGTTTTTTGAAGTTGTAATTTTTGTCCTAATTTTTTGGAAAATGAATAAATAAAAAAAAAATCACAATTTTTTTTTATTTTTTTTATTACGTACTGTCATACTGTGGTGGTGATCAGGGACACTACTGGTGACTATGCGGGAAGAAATAAAATAAAAAATACACACACACACTCACTTTTCTCTGATTTTTTTTTAATTAAAATACTGTGTCCAGAGTAATATAATGTTACCATAGTAACCTTGTACTTCTCTGGGGAAGTGATCAGTTATTTGTTTTTTTTTTTTTTTTTTTTTTTTTTTTTTTTTTTTTTTACACATTGTGATTGCCTATAGCAGTGAATAGACAAGCATTTAACTGAATAAAATCTATTCATTCAGTGCTTTTTGTTGTGATTAGCTGTGATTGGCCACAGGTAATCCTATGACACAGATGGGCTGTGATTGGCCCAGTCTGTACATTTGATCACTGTGACCAATCACAGCTAACACAATTGTATACAATGGATGACATGAAAGAAAGCCATCCATTGTTTACAATTGTCATGTGACTTGCTGTGATTGGTCACAGCGTTCATAATTTACCAGCAACGGGCCAGTATATAGATCGGTCATTGACTGTGTCCTATGGACACAGCCAGTGACAGCTCTCGCTGAAGCATGGCCTCACAGGCGCAGGCAAGACAGCGATCCAGGAAGACATCATAGGACGCCCACCTGGATCGATGAGAGTCCTGCTCAGCTGTCATTCTCCTATAGGCTGGTTGGGAACTGGTTAAAAAATAATACTGTACTCCTGATAAATGTCGTTCAGAGAAAGTATTCAATATATTTATTTCATATTCCTTTGTTGTTTTCCACATTCACAAGCAGACTAACATGAGCGGATAATGCCAAGGTAATAGAGTAGAACAAACTAGACCGCTGCCAGGCATTCTTGAATTACTGCAGAACCTCTGGCAGTGTTTACTCCAACCCATTTGTTTATAGGTCATGTTGGTCCACTTGTAAATGTGGAAAAAATATAAATGTAACAAAAAATGAAATCCTATAATGAATAAATAAATTATATTCTACATTATTTTTATAGTTTTTTTTAACAGCTAGCAGGGGATCTTCCCCCCAGCTGTCACAATTTTTTTTCTTTTTTTTTTTTTTTAAATTTGGCCGTACGGGGCTTCGCCCACCCGGCCGCGTCACTTATTCACAGTATTCTGTGAATGGGAAGACTACAAGTTCAGACAGCCTTCGCAGCTGTTGGTTTGTAATTCTCAAGAAACTGCCACAGTGCTGTTGAGCACTGTGGTAGTTAATTTGTTTTTTTGTCAGTGTGTATCTGCTTGCCCATACAGTACGAGCACACAGATACAGTGACAGGTCTGCAAGAGTCCTGAGTGGCACTTGTGACCTGGTGCAATGCTTTCCAGGCTTCCAAAAGAAAAAATAGTAAATGTATATTTTATTACTTGCAAAAGGTGAACTTATCCTTTAAGGACACAGGATCAGATAGAAATCGGGGACAGATGCAGAATACTGCCTCCTAAAGGAGGAATTGGATGCTAGTAAACAAAAAAGCAGTTAGCTAGGTAAACTTCCTGCTCATTCCCAACATGCTTTAGTTTTACACTAGTGTTTTAGGATTAATTTTTTTTCTCTTCAGGGTTTAATTAATTTCACTAGACTTTTTTTTCTTTTCAACAAGGCTTTTTTACTTATATCAAGAATGTATCGTTCCGCTGCTGAGCTAATCCTCTGTGACACCTTGAAGGCAACACTCTGACTCCACTGGACATAACATTGTGGTGCCTGTCACTAAAGTTATGTGTAGGAACTGGGCTTTGCTTATGGCACTCTTCAGACACTTAGTGCACTAGTTTTTTTTTATCCACAGAGCACTTTACAGGCCTAGAGCCATGGCACAGCCTCTGACGTGACCCAATCTCTGATGACTCCCTTGGGGGAGTATGCCCATGGACTGGTACTAAGTTTTCTGGAATGTGACCTTTTTTTCACTGAGCACTGCATGGGGTGCTCTCCAGTCATATTATACTATGAGCTTGGTATGCTATTTCTTCTCCCTCCATTCTATTCTCTATTACCTCTCAAGGAAAGTGTTATTGCACTTAGGAGTGCATGCTCCACTAACTGCGGTGTTGTACATGCTCTCCACTCCCGATTCTTGCCTTTGCAGCATAAGGTAGTCTTCCCACAATTTCTGTCACCAAAGGTCATGTGGTTTTACCTCGGTTTGTTTGGGATTTTTTGCCACCTACTCTGACTCATTCAATTCCGGACATTTACATGTTGAATCATAAAAAGCAAGGGGAGCGGTCCCATGGGCCCCTCCAGTTCACAATCCACTAACAACTCCAGGGTTGTGTGCAGTGTGCTGTCCTCAAGCACCTGACACAGATTGCCTGGATTGTTGTCCCCTGCTTGAGTTCACACACTTGTTTTAAATCCTTGACTCACTCAGGTGTGACTCCCTTCTCTGTGTCATCCAGAGAGGAGTTCTTTATGTTAGCTATCTTGGTAGAGATTTTGTTCATAAAATCTGACTGCCTTCTCCTCCAGTCTTCACCTGACATTCCTGCTGCTGTGGCTGTGGGTGTACACTTTGAAGAGGAATCTTACAAATCCATTCTGGATGATTTTGTACCTGAGGAGCCTCAACCTGTTGATAATAGCTCCCAGGCTCAGTGATATCATATTGGTTCTTATTGATGCGATGCACACATGATTAAAAATGGAGCAAACTGCTGTTGTTACAAGCCTTTTTCCCCCTTAATGACAGTTATAAACCTTTCCTTATTTGTACCCGTGTAGTACAACAGTGAATTGCTCCTGTGAAGGTATTCTCTAATCCAAAATGTTTTTCTCAGCAGTAGCCTTTTGAGGAGACATTTCACCCACTGTAACTCTTCATTTCATGTCTTCATAAAAACACTGTTTCTTTTAACCACTTTCCATCCAGCCCATATACATAAACGGCTGGATGGGAGTAGTGCAGGAGCTGGTGTCCTCAAAAAATTAGATTGGCCGTCAGTACCTCAGGATTGATCAATTTTCAGATATATCCCATAGTTTGTGAACTCTAAACCTTTCCTACAGACTAAATAATAAATACTAATTTGGGTTATTTTCACCAAAGACATGTAGCAGAATACATCTTGGCCTAAATTTATGAAGAATAATTATTTATTTTCAAACTTTTATAACAGACAAAGAAAAACATGGGTTTTTTTTTTCAAAATTTTCAGTCTTTTTTTGTTAATTTAGCAAAAAAAGAAAAACCCCAGTGGAGATTAAATACCATCAAAAGAAAGCTCTAGTTGTGTGAACAAAACGATAAAATTTTAGTTTGGGTACAGTGTTGCATGAACTTGCAATTGTCATTCAAAGTGTGAGAAACCTGAAAATTGGCTTGGGCAGGAAGGGGGTAATAGTGCCCGGTATTGAAGTGGTTAAGGCACAGAGGCTCCACCTCTTTGTATTTATTATCTATTCCTACTTTTTTACAAAGTTGAAGCATGCTGATAGTGGGAGGGTTTATAACATTTTGGCTTGGGCTGTTTGTTTTCCAGTTTCTCCTGTAGTTGGCAGTATAACCCAGTATATTCATTCTGTATATTTTTTTTCATTAAAGATAAACTCTACTAGTGTCCTATTTTTTAAAGTGGGAATAAACTCCCTTTTTGCTTTTTACCTAGAGGTAAGCCTATAATAAGACTTATCTGTAGGTACCATAAATATCTCCTAAAAGTGTACGGTTTAAGAGATATTTAGCAGTGTAGCCACCAATGATGTCACAGGCGTGTGTGCTCTGAAGGAATGGCATACCCGGGCCATTCCTTCAGAGCCCTGTGTTGTAAACAGTGACTCCCGTGCACATGTACAGAAGTGACATCATCAGGCTCGATCATTCAAGCGGCCACAGCGAACAACACGGAAGAAGATCTGGTAAAGATGGATTCCCAGTCACCGGTGACAAGGTTCTGCTGGAGGGATCGTTTCACATGCAAGTCTGTCATAATGCATGTAGTGCATACTAATATATTATGACTACCATGCGGGGGGGGACCAGTTTTTTGTGGGGGGTTTTATCAGCAGTGATTTACTACTGCTTTAATACAATTCATTAAGCCACATTCTGATCTTTAGCCCCCCATTTTATCTTTTCAGATATTGATAGTGTTAATCTTGATGATTATAACATCCATGTGATTGCCAGCGTGTTCAAGCAGTGGTTAAGGGAACTTCCGAATCCGTTGATGACATTTGAACTGTATGAAGAGTTTCTCAGATCTATGGGTGAGTACTAACAAGTACTTGTAAGCTTGTTCTCTTTCTGTCTTGCAGTCACAATTTCCAGTGTCATGTTATACTTCTGTTCCAGTTTGTTTAGTTCTATATAACTGCCGCTTTTTTTCATTTGTCTGTTAAATGTAAAATGCATTTCTTTATAGAAAAGCTGTTTTGAACCTCCAAAGCTTTAAGCGACAGTTTAGTTTACTTGTATTTTTCCTCTTTCAGATATGTAATTTGCTTCCATTTTCTTGCAGGTCTTGGGGAAAGAAAAGAAAGTGTAAGGGGAGTCTATTCTGTTATCGATCAGTTATCTCGAACGCACCTTAGCACTTTGGAAAGACTTATCTTTCACCTTGTCAGGTATCTTACAATGTTCTATTGATTTCAGTGTGTATGATTTGCAAATATGACAATATAATTTCTTAGATGAATATAGTAAATGTATTTAAAGTGTACATTCATGGTAATATTGACTTGTTTTCTATATCTTTAGGATTGCCCAGCAGGAGGAGACTAATCGTATGTCTGCCAATGCATTGGCAATTGTGTTTGCCCCTTGTATTCTCCGTTGTCCGGATACCACAGACCCCTTGCAAAGTGTTCAGGACATTGGCAAGACCACAGCGTAAGGAATATAAACAGTAATTAAAAACATTGTGTTTCTTTAGAATTAACACTAATGACCTCTAGTCAAACCAAGCAACTCACTCAGTGTGTTGTATAACCTCTATTTCTTATCTTATTCTCTCCGTTATACTATATCATTTCAACGCACCATCCCCAAAAACTTTATTAGTCTGCAACAAGAACCTCTCTTGTTACACTATAGGGTCCATTTATTAAAGAGAAGAATGGGCTTACCTTGGCCATACTTCTGTTTAAACGAAAAAAAAAAAAATGCACACACGTTTACCAAGCACAGTGGTGTATTTTACAAATGTACTATTAAACTGGCTTTGACAGTCTGATGCCAGTGGAGCCCTATTTATATGAATGAACTTTCAGAAAAACTGGAAGCACACCCAGTCATGTGATCTGTCAGTTATCTGACTAGCTTATCATCCAATCAGAGTTCTTTCTGCTGCATTGAGGTGGCCCCACACCATGGTCTGTATATTTTTAAGGGGATGTAAAATGCAGGCAATATCCAATCTCTTCTATAAATGGGCCCCATTATATATGATTTGATAATGAGTTAAAAAACATTGAGGTATTCAGTGACGACTGCTGTTGGCATGGGCCTGGTTTTCTTGTGGCTATTTTTCTCTGCACTGTCAAAATTTACTAAGATTCAAGAAACTTTAACAAAAATGCTGATGTTTGCACTTACACGTGCTAGTTGAGCTTTTGCAGTTGGCAATCTTTTGACTTGTACTTGTGACTTTTAAGTGAATCCTTTCGAAATATGTCAACATTTGTATGCTATGTTTCCCAGGATAGCTTATGCATATGCTTTTTTACTTGATCAATGTCCTTTTGATCTTAATTAATCTGATTTCTTTCTGCTTCTGTTTGTTGATTAAAGATGTGTAGAGCTGATTGTGGTGGAGCAGATGAATAAGTACAAGGCTCGACTGAAGGACATAAATAGCCTGGAATTTGCAGAGAACAAAGCCAAGAGTCGTCTTTCCCTTATCCGCAGGTCCATGGTAAGTTGAATGTGGGTGCTTTGGGATGGTAAAGGGAATTTCCTATTTTAACTACCACACTCAGAACTGCCTCCTTTATTCACCATCTTTAACCCCTCTCCTGCTTCTAACCTTCTGCTTTCCTTTCATCTCCTTCTCCAATCCAGAAACCCGTACTAATTGCAGTTAGATTTATGAGCATAAACCGCAGCACCTTGCCGGTATGTATAAGATCAGGCTGTCTGTGGCATTCACTCATTTTGTCCCCACCCATACCCTTAAACATCACAATTAATCACAGTAGCTGATTGCACAGTCCTTACTAAGCATGTCTTGTCATTTTCACATTAGTTCCATCATAGGAATTCACTAATTTTATCCACTTTAGAAAAACCTTAACTGTGCATATTTTATGGATACTGTGCATGTTGTCCCATTCACAATTTGCATTTATCCTGAATACAGCCCAGTAGATTTCATGTGTCCCATACAGTCTGTACCCTGATATGGCATACTTTATGTACATGTGTGCACTGTGTGTTTCTGGTAAAAATGTTACAGGCTCAGAAATGCTGAGCTAAGTTGCCATGCCACATAAAAATATCTTGATGTTTTGTAATTATTTTTAAAATCTATCATAATCGGGGAAATTTTGACTGAGCATATGAAGAATAAGTGCATAAACAGCGGCTATCAAATGTAAAATGGATCAGTACATCTTGTAATATTTGTAGTTGAAATTATAGGCAACTCTTTACTTTTTCATTAAAAAAAGGAGTCTTGCACTGTTTGTTTCTACCTCTCAAGCTTCCTTTTTGGCTAAAAATGCCATCCGTATCTATACAAAAATCAATAGGGCTGCAGGAGCAGAGGGGCCAACTTGCACTTTTAAAAGGCAAGAATTGTGTGTGTATAATATCTTCAGCTCCTTATATATCACTGGATCTAGTGGTCATTTTAACATGCTATTTGCACTCCAGGTAAGCTCTGCTTATACATTTTTCATCATAAACTCAATTTGAATACCCAGGTGTCTTAAAAATGGTTCTGTAAAATCTGTTCGGTAGCATGTAGTGCATAGACTGAATAATTCTATAACTTGTTTTGTCCAGAAATTCTGTTCATCGCTGCCTCGACTTTTCAGAACTCGGAGTGTTTGCATTTTCTGACCTCCCATACACTTAGGAACAGACATCTGCTTAAAATTGAGAATTGTAGACAGTTTCTATTTATGATGGCCTATATTCTCTATACCCCAGCCTGTCAGATCTCCTTTTCGACCCCAATCTCCAGCTTAAGATAGATTCCTGTCCCTGCTGACCATAAAACTGGAGGATGCAAGTACTTCGCCAATCACATATAGACAGGCAATGCGAAGCAACCTTTCTTGACACAGTGTGATACAGAATTATACTGTTTTTATTTCTTTTAGTTGAAATTGTAACTTGATTAGCACATGCACACTTTAGATTAGTTTTAGCATGGGTTTGCACTAGAACAGTGGCCTCCAAACGGTGGCCTGGGGGCCAGATGAGGCCCTTTGCATGCTTTTTTCAGGCCCTTGGGGCAGCATTTCTTCTGCTGATCCCAATAATGGGGCATAATTCTCCCCACTGACAACAATGATGGGGCACAATTCCTCCCAATGACAACAATGGGGCATAATTTCTCCCAATGACAACAACAATGGGGCCCACTGACATGCTGTGTTTGTGAAATGCCTTTGGGGTGCCATTAACAATTAATGGCACCCGCCTGTGTCTTGCAAGGGCAGCGTGTTCACATGCTGTGTGGGGAAACATGCATAGAACGTGCCTTTCCCGCACTGCGTTCTAGTGTGAACCAGCCCTTGCCCAGGATTTTATTGTATATCACATTTGTTAGTGAACCTTTCCTAAATATCAATCCCTGGGAGTGGACCCACTTCTGAGTCCAGTCTGGATAATTTAGAGAGCCAGAAAATGTCTTTCTATTGACTGGGAACCAGTTGTCATTTTTATGCATTTAGGCTACCTAGTTGCTGTGCCTTTTTCTTGCTTTGCAAACCAACAGCATATTTGGGAATACATTGCATATGTGTTCAATTACAATATATTTATGCTATACCAAATGAATGCACATTAGGGTGTTTTTCGTAATGGATTCTATTATATATTATGCATTTCAGAACATTTCTTTGAATAGTGCAAAATTAATAAAATCTGTTAAGTTTTCCTACTGTTTTTTCCCCCTATGGGGGATATTTCCCCTTACTTCCTTGTGGGCACCATCAGTGGAACAGAGATCGTTTGTCAGAACAAAATAGCCAGCTCTACAGATTCATCCATCTGTGCTGTATAGAATGGCAGAAGTGTCTGTTAGAATTCTTTTCATTTACTTTGTAGGCCGAATGGAAAAAAAAAAATCAATCAGTTAATGGCCAGTTTTACCTAAGAATTGCACCTGCTGTGAATTGCTGCACTTCATACACTACTATATTCACTGGGCTCATAGCTTGGCGTTATAGCCTGGCCTTAGAACCGACCTGGTAATTGTGAAAGTGTCCATATTTTACAGTACATATGAAAACAAACTCCAGTTTAACATTAACGTATAATTTAGAAGCAGTAGAGTTTTGTCTGCATTCATAATATTATCAAAGCTTATTTAGATTTTCATTTTCTCAGCACAGTTTCACTTTCCCATTGAGGATAATACCTTAGTCAAAGTTTAGTTTTACCAATTTTCCCTCCACTAGTTCCTTCTCCTTCCTCTTCCACTCCCAAATTCTTTATTTTTTTCTCTTTTGGCTGGTCCAATTATTGGAAAATTCCATTAAAGCCCCCTGGAGGCATGGAGGAGCTCAGCTATGAGGAAAGATTAGAGGAACTGAATTTATTCTCTCTTGAGAAGAGGAGATTAAGGGGGAATATGATCAACATGTATAAATACATCAGTGGTTCATATAGTGAACTCGCTGTAGAGTTAGTCACCCTGAGGTCATCACAGAGGACAAGGGGCACTCTTTACAGCTGGAGGAAAAGAAATTTAATCTCCAAACACGGAAAGGTTTCTTCCCAGTAAGAGCTGTGAAAATGTGGACTAGACTCCCTCAAGAGTTGGTTCTGGCCAGCTCAGTGGATTTATTTTAAAAAGGCCTGGATTCTTGGATACACAGAATATAATTTGATACTAACATTTATAAGTAAAGTTGATCCAGGGAATATCCGATTGCCTCTCGGGGGATCAAGAAGGATTTTTTTTCCCCTGCAGGAGAAAATTAGATCATGCTTTGCTCTGTTTTTTTTTTTGTTTTGTTTTTTTTTTGCCTTCCTTTGGATCAACTGTGGGTATAGGATTATAAGTTTTTTTTTGTTTTGTTTTTTTATGGTTGAACTGGATGGACTATTGTCTTTTTTCAGCCAGACTAACCCCCTGATCAGTCAACCCCTCTGATCAGCTGCTCCAGCCCTCTCCAGCTCTTCTCCTACGGATCCTCTACCAGTCCCTGGGGATCCTGTACTCCCTCTGGCCATTTGAAAGGAGGAGGAGAAGCTGTGGTAGATTGGGAGGGGTACAACAGCAGTAGTCTGCTCGTGAGCCCCACACAAGCCTGTTCCTTAGGCCCAGCGACGCTGGGCAGTTTATATGCTCTGTGATGCACAACCCTCTTTTCCCCGCTAATATTGCTGCCAGCATGCCTGGATGATTCATATCTCTCCTGTCTCATACATGACTCTCTCATTTTCTTATTCACATTTCTGGAGATACAGCCTGAGGGGTTGACAGACTAAACCGCTTCCTAACAGGGAGCGGCTACTTTTTTTTCCCCATTTCTTGCCCTGCTCCCTTCCCACCTGCAACTCCCTGGGACACATCACATGTCCAAGGAGGCTTCAAAGCAAGTCTCCCTGCTGAGCAATCTTGCATATGCGCAGTAGGGAGCCGGCTGTGATTCTTGAGGAAGTCAAGGCCAGCTACCAAATCAGAGAGGGCAGCACTGGGGGCACCTGCAGCGGTGAGAGGAACTGGTTGGGACAGCGCTGGACTCCATGGTCTGGTAAGTGCCTCAAATTTAAAAGTCAGTGGGTATTTTTTTAAATTGAAACAGTGAAAGAAAAGTTCACCTTTTTGACAAAAGTATTCACGTTTTTTTTTTTTTTTTTTTTTTTTGCAGGTAAAAAAAAAATGTGCATTATTATTTTTTGTTGCAGAAGCCACCTGCCATGCAGGTCTCCTGCAGACCTGTCAGTATATCTGCTTGCCTGTACATCCCCTGCAGGCAAGCAGGATACACTGACAGGAAGAATTAATGAACTACCACAGTGCTCCACAGTGCCATGGTAGTTCTTTGAGAACTACAAGCCATCATCCCGAAAGGATGTCAGTAGTTGTAGTTCATTCACAGAATTCTGTGATTGAATGACGCGGCCGTGTGGGCGGAGTCCGTCATGGCCACGCTGCTTTTAAAAAGTGCCAGCTTGTTTGGGAACTTCTTCCCGTACTGCTGTCACAGAGACACAAGGAAGGGGTGGGGGGGGGATTGTGCAGTGGCTGAAGCAATGGGAACATATTACATGTTCCACCCTAAACACGGGTGGAACATGTAACCTGTTCCCAGAGAGCAGAAAAAGAGGTAAATATTTCTGTGAGGTTTTTATTTCTGCCTGTGGCTCCATTAGATAAAGCCTGTACAACAAATAAGGAAATAGGTATCAATGGGACAGGAAGGCACTGACAGCAATAAAAAGTTGTCTGAAGTTCTTTGGTTTTCCAAAAATGTTTTTGTCTTTGTCACTGTATTGCATTAAGTTTCTGTTTTTGTAATCATTTAAAAGACTTTCTGTGACATCCTGTTCTGACAGGGAGTGACAAGAATGCCTTCCAGTAGAGTGAAGGACAGCAGAAAAAAAACACGTTTCCCCTTCCATGCTCTATCCAAAGGAAAATGGAATGTTTTAGCTAGAGATGGGCTGTAGGGCTAATAGCCAAAAGCAAAATGACATGTTTGCTCTAGTGTTTATATATCCTGTTACCAAGATTTTTTATTAGTGTCTTCTATCCCTTTAGGGCAAAGGACGCTTGCGTTCATGCCTGAGCCCTGTGATAACTGGGCGCTCCCCTATACCAGATGCTGCTGGTGATCATGGCCTGTCAACCATTCCCTCTGAGGATGAGACCTCTGAACAAAAGGAAGCAGCTATGCAACAAGAGGAAAGAGTTCTGGCTCAGCAGATTGAGACCCTGCAGAAAGAGAAGTAAGTTATGGGGCACAGTTAATGGTACAGTAGGAGGCTCTGGAAGAGATTATGATCATAACTTTTCAAAACCACAAGGATCAGCCCATGGCACCCAATCAACCAATCAGTTAGCAGCACTGCTAGGAATGAGAAATCTGCTTGCACTGGTTTCATGCTCTACCCCAGTGGTCTCCAAACTGCAGCCGTTTGCCTTTATCTGGCCCTTGGGGCACTAAGCCTCCCACTAACACCAACATTGGGACATCATTTCTCCCACTGATATAAAAACTACAGAACACTATTACTTCCACTAACACTAAAGATGGTGCACTTTTCCTCCCACTGGTACCATCAATGGGGTACTATTCCTGTCACTGACATCAACAATGGGGCATAATTCCATCTACTGATATAAAATATAGAGCACTATTACTCCCACTAACACTAAAGATGGGGCATTTTTCCTCTCACTGATACCAATAATAGGGCGCTATTCCTTATACTGACACAAATGATTGGGCACTATTTCTTCTACATTTTCCACTCCCACTGGTTACAGTCAGGCCACCCCTAAATTTAGAAGACCAAAAAACTGGTCCTTTGTTCAGGAAGTTTGGAGACCCATGTGGTAGACTACTGAAAAACTATGTCATAGTACTAAATAAGTTTGATTGTTTACATTAAATGCAGTTATGTAAATGTTTTTTAACAAAATAAGTGTTGCAGTGGCAAGATGGGTTTTTAAGATCCTGGGCTGAACTTCACATTTCTGCCATGAGTATCTCAGATGTATACTGTTGGTGAGCAGATTTCTTCAGATACTACACTTGATCTTAGCCAAAATGCCAAGAAGTGATAGACTTCTTCAGCCGACTCTGCCTGCCCTCACCCCCACCTCCTGGCCATCAGGTTCAAGCTGCAAACTCCAGGTACAGGAATCCACTAGCAAAAGCAGTGGATGCTCTGGTGGTTCAGTGGGATCAGTAACCCGGATCTGTGCCTTTCCTTTCCTGAAACATCTAGCTTGTCTTGGGGCTTCCACAACTGGAGTTTCGCAATGAGACAAATCATTTCCTTCCTGCTGCTGGGTCTGGACCAGCATTTGGCTCTCAATGTTTTTGAGGACTATGTTTCTGCTCTTTTTATCTTGTTTCAGAGCCTGTTGGCAGTTCACTGATTAAGACCTTTGCACAGGAAGTCTCACTTGTAGCTCCAGGTCATCTCTTCAATTCAGAAATTGCTGTTTTGAAACCTTGAGACATTTTCTTTTTTACCCTAACCCACAAGGTGATATTATTGTACTTTGTAGCCATCACCTATGTGGGGTGAATGTTTGAACTGTTTTTTTTTTAATGCTCTTGATTATTACTTTGTTGCAAAACTAAGGCATGATGGTTGTGGATGGGGTTATTCTAAAGGCCATTGTTTTTTTGCTGCCAGTGTTAATCTCTCCTGTAGCCAGCAGTGACCTTCAGTGGACTCAAATATAGAATCTTTTCTTTTTCTTTTTTTTGTTTTGACCCTTCTGTTGTCATTTCATACATTCTTGAGACTAGTGAAAAGAAGTGCCCATATTACTGTTGTAAGAGCATTGCTACTTATTGTATGTGTCTTTGTCTATATGTGTGCATATAAATGATTGTTATTTCTTCTTTTACTAACCTTCCATCTAGAGAGGAGTTGGCTTATGAAATGTTGGCATTAGAGCCTCGAGCCTCAGATGATGAGACCTTGGAGTCTGAAGCATCACTTGGCACAGCAGACAGCTCTGAGAACTTGAACTGTGAATCTGAGGGTGCGGCATCCAGTCGGACAGGTAGAATGACACTTCCGAACACTTTTCTGTAAAAAAAAAATAAATATATACACACACTGTATACACGGACACACTCACACCTCCTCTTTCTTTTCCACAGAAAGATCCTTGGTATTAAGCTCCATGAGAGGACCAAGAACTGAGCCAACGCGAGCCCGGAGACCGAACAAAAGAGAAAGTGACAATACTGAAAGTGGGGACCAGAACCTTTCTTCTCCAACTGCCTCTTCCTGCTTACCCCACTTAGGCAGAAAGAGGTTTCACTTACACACAAAATCTCCCTTTTATCGGGAACCTGCTCCTGCCGACGTTTTGGACTCTGCAGCCCCGCTACACTTTACAAGTCGGGGAACTTTTAACCCTGAGAAAGGACGTCAGAAACTAAAGAATGTTAAACAATCTCCGCAGAAATCAAGAGATACTCCAGAGAGTGGGGAACAAAGGATTCTGGGATCAGATGGCAGCTCACAGTCCCTTGTCTTGTTTGGGAGCAATGAGTTTATGGTTTGAACAAAGTGTATACTGTGCTTATTCTCCTGTTGACAATGCTCACTCCTAACCCTTTTCTTGCCCTCCACCGTAGCTTTACCCTGGTGCCTCATTGCGGCCAGGAGCCACGGAGCATGGGCTGCCAGCAACATACCAAGGATCCAAGGGGCCATGTTAACAAAAGCCTTATCCAGCTGAATCTACTGCTTGTGGGGTTCTTCATCAGGACTCTAACACTCCCTTTATCAGCACATAATGATCTCAACAGAAAGAGAGGCTTTTATTATAAATATTATTATATTAATGTTATTAATTAATTTTATTTGTGGTTTCTAAGCCCTGTATAAATAAACCATTCCCTTTAATTTAAAGCAGCATCTGCACTGTGGTTACACAAAGCTTTGATAGATTGGAGCCTCCTGCAATGCATGGCTCAACATTTCTGTGGGGTATGTCACTCCAGCTTTTGAGCTCCAAAGACATTTGTCTACACTGATTACCAGAACAACTCAAGCATTTGGATGAGTACATTCCATGTGTTTGCAGGATCCACTATATACCCTCCAGATTGCACAATGTTCCAGGGAGCGGCATCTGGATGCTGAGAGTTCAGAGCTCAAAGAAATTTAAGTGAAACCTTCTTTTATGCAGAAGAGAAACTTTTATGGGACAGGCATAGAAACTGGGCCACTGCCTTGTTATATAGAACCTTTTGGCTGCAGATGTTATCCCAAAATAAGCCTGCTGAGCCTTATCCAGGGCAGACACTTCCATACTGAATGTAAATGGCCTGTACCTTGGAAAAGACACTGGGCGCAAAGTGCAATGGGTGACAATGCTGTTGTATGTATTCAGTAAAATCTTGTAAATTCACGGCTGTAAAATCCATCACATTGCGAACAAAACCCAGAGCTTATTAAAGAGCTTATTAAAGAACAAACGCTGCAGAATGTTAACATGTAATGTCTTTTTATTTCTTTTCTTTAAAGCTGAATTCCATGCAGGCAGTTAGGTTCACACTTGTAATAAAAGTAAACTGTAAACACCAAAATGTTTGTTCTACCACCAGCGTTCTTGATACAGGCACTCCTTCAGGACCAGGACTTTCACTTGACTCAGGGCATACTTTCAGCCTACTGATATGACAGTGAAGGAGCAGCAGAACTCTGTAAAGTCAGTATTCTGCTCTCTCCTTCTGTAAGTATGTTCACAGTATTTGACTTCTTTTCTAGACCTGTTGTGATTTAATGATGAAAACCATTCCGGCACTTTTGATACTTGCATTTAAAAATACATTTAGCCATTTTTAATGAATTCTTAAAGGGTATGTAAACCCAGCAATATACTTCTTTTATTTGGTCTGTTAAAAATATAATTGAAATTGTTTTTGTTATATCTGTTAATTTCAATTTTTTTGTTTGTTTTAGAGATACTTTAACTGCATTAACGTTGGAAGTAAACTCCCTTGGTTGATTTTTACCTATAGGTAGCCTTATTATAGGCACAGTAGATATGTCCTAAATGTGCACCGTTTAGGAGATATTTACTTTAGAAGCAGCCGGTGACGCCACTGCCACATGCGTTCTGATGGAATGGCATACCCGTGCTGTTCCTTCTGAGTCATGTGCCACAAACAGTGACTCCCGCACGCATGCGTGGGAGTGATGTCATCGCAGCTCAGCCATTCATACCACCGGAGCCTGGGAGCCCAGAAGGAAGACCGGCTGAAAATGAAAGCACCTACAGTGGTGACAGCGCACCACTGGAGGGCTTCGTTTTCAGGTAAGTCTTTCATAATGTGCTAGTATGCTGTGCCTACTACTAGCACATTATGACTTAAGGCCAGTTCACACCACATGCAGTCCAGTGCTTTTTTTTTTTTTCTCGCATCAAAAACACATTGATAGTAGGTTACATGGTTTCCAATGGCATAGTTCACACCAGTGCAGTCAGTTCCAAAAAAAAAAGTAGAACATGCTGCAGTTTTTCTGCACTGAACTGTACTAGAATGCAGTAAAAATGCACTGAAATGCACCTAAACACACCAAAAAAATGCATGTCCTTTATTAAGTTTATTTAACTCATTCGGACTGTGTTTCTATGGTGTGAACTAGCCCTTGAAACTGGTGTGAAACTGCCTGGGCCCCACCCCTTTTTTTTTTTTTTTATCTTGCTGCAGTTTACTACTGCGTTTTTATATCTGCATGGAGTTCAGCTTTAAGCAAAACTTTCATGTAATGTCAGTACTGATTTCTGGTTCTTTTAAAGTATGTAAGCCTTAAATGTAAGTATTTTTACATGATATCATACTGAAAACAAGTCAAATGAAGAATATTTTTATGTTTTTATTTAATGTCTTTTTTGCCACCTGTATGTCAAATGGCATCAGCCTAAACTGCTGAATATTTATGGAACAGAAATAGATGAAAATAGATAACCCCTATGATTAAGCCTCGATGGGCAGGGCAATACATGTCAGTGGGCAAGGTTTGAGGCGTGACATTGATTGATTGATTTCTCATGTACAGTGGGTATAGAAAAGGATCACCCCCTTTTAAAATCACATTTTGTTGCTTTGCAGCCTGAAATTACGACAGACACAGTTTTTTTGTTTATCCAGCTATATTAACTCGGTACAACTTATAACTTTGAAGTGAAAGATATAACACCAACATGTCAGAAAAAAAAAAAAATCAAAAACAGAATCACTGACTTGGAGAAAGGATCACCGACACCCCTCCTAAAAATGACTTGTAAACTCAGGTATAAGCTAATCGCCTTCTCAATGGCATACAAAGCCATTTGACCTTCAACTGTGATCAGCTGCATTCATTTTGATTAACTTTCCAGAATCATTTCAGTCCCTAGTAGTGCAACTGAAACAAACCATTAACTGTGATGGCAAGAAGCTGTCAAAAGATCTCTGGGATAAAGACAGGCACAGGTCAGGAGATGGATACAAACAAAAAATTTCAAAGGCTTTGTCAATGCCTAGAAGCACAGTGAAATATATTATTAAGAAATGGAAGGTATTTGGTACAACACAGACCCTCCGTAGATCATGACATCGCTCCAATCTGCAGGAAAAAGCCAGGAGACTGGTTATAGAGGCTACCAAGAGGCCTACAGCAACTCTGAAGCAATTGCAGGAATTTATGACAGAGTGGTCATTGTGTGCATATCACAAATTCTCCACAAATGTGACTTGTATGGGAAGGTTGAAACAAAAAATGCCACTCCTCTAAGGCCACATACAGCCAGGACTGAGCTTTGCCAAAACGCACTTTGAAGATTCTGAGGCCACATGGAAAAATGTGTTCTGGTCAGATGAGACTAAATTGGAATTATTTGGCCTCGACACTAAATGATATATCTGTCGGAAATCCAATACGGCTCACCATCCAAATATTACCATTCCTACAGTAAAGCATGGAGGTGGTAATATCCTGTTATACGGGTGTTTCTCTGCAGCAGAGAATGGATCACTTGTCAGATTAGAAGGAAAAATGGATGAGGCAAAATATCATCAAATTCTTGAGAAAAATCTGCCCTCTGCCAGAAAGTTGTCAATGGGAAGAAGGTTTACCTCCCAACATGACAATGGCCCAAAGCACAGCAAAATGATCACGGAGTGGTTGAAGGAGAAAAAGGCGAATGTCCTTGCATGGCCTAGTCATATCCCAGACTTAAACACCATTAAAAATCTGTGGAATGACTTGAAGGGGTTTATTTGCAAAAGCTGGTTCACCCAGAATGTTGTGTGCATAGAAACCAATCGGCGTACAGGTTTTATTGCTAAGGCTAGTATCATACCTAAGTGTTTTGTTGTGCATTTTGCATTTTTCAACAACTCACTACAATCCATTTAAATGATTTCCTATGGGACACGTTCACATCTCCACGTTTTAATCTGATGCGATTTTTGGAAAGGGTCTGGGACTTTTCTAAACGCAAAACGTTGTGTTTTCATTCAATAGACTTCAATAGAGATGCTGCAGAAATGCATGTAGTGCATTTTTGATGCATTTTGCATCTTTAATCTGCCTAGCAACAAAAACGCATGTGCAAAAACACAACGCACTGCAAAAAGCACTGCAGAAACGGATTAAATGCAAACTGCATGAGTGAACCTAGCCTAAAGGTTAATTGAACAATCTGAGGTTAGAAGCGGTTTTTCTACCATGCACAGGTGTACCAGATTCTGAGTGAGCCAGCTTAAGTAAACCCCGAAGACTATAGTCCACAAACAGTCACCATCAAGTTTAACTGATCTTGAGCAGTTCTGCAAAGAAGAGTGAGAAAATATTGTGCAAAGTTAGTATCCCAACAGATTAGAAGGCTGTAATTAACCACTTACCATCGGCCCTATCGCAGAAGTACTTCTACAGGGCGGCACGGCTGAGCAAAATCACGTATATATACACGTGATTTGCATTTATGGGTAGGGGGCGCACGCTGCTATTGGCGGCTGGGGATGTCAATCACCGGGTCCTGGCTGACACTTGGTGATCGTCGGCAAAGCTGACAGGGGAAAGACCTGTGTGTAAACACAGGTCTCTTCTGTCAGCATGGACATGTACAGCATAGAGATACTAAGCAGCATGTCTCCCAAATAAAATGAACACAGTTAACCCTTTGATCACTTTCGCATGGCATTTAAGTCATTTAATGTACTGATAGGTATTTCTGCAAGAATGTTCATGTGAACATTTTTTTAAAATCTACTTGTGTATGGTCAGCTTTAAATGAAATGTTCCTTAACCACTTCCCGCCCGGTCAATAGGAAAATGATGGCTGGGTGGGACTCGTCAATCCGTGAGGGTGTCATACGACGTCTTTCCCAGATCGCGCCTTGCAGGTGCCCGCGGGCCACGCTGTTGGTGAGATCTGTCACCAACTTTGTACACAGCCGATGACAGATCTGTGTACTGGCCCCATTGCCAGTACCATGTGACCTGCTGTGACCAATCACAGCAGGTCACATGACAGTTGTACACAATGCATTGCTTCCTTTCATGCCA